CTTTTAAGTCATTAGTCTGAAAGCGAGTTTCTGGGATACCACTGACGCATAGTAGTTTACGGCATCTATGAGACACTTAAGAAGAAAAACCTTGTGGAGTTGCAAGCTGCGAACCAGGTTGCAAACTGTGAGGATGACTTAGATCAAGTCCTGTTTTGTACGAGTGGTCTCAGCATTTGGCATGCAAGCTGTGGAGCAGTTCTGGTAATTGTAACTTCAAGCTCCTGAATATTGGAGCTATTCCCATCAGCACGACAACCACAGCTGGTTTTCGTGCCAGTATACCTCGTTCTGAAGTCACAGGAAGAAAACAACAGTAATTAGTTGCTGCCATCATGTTGTGTTAGCTAGTAATCAAGAACAAGATTTTTTCTCTTGAGCTTGGACGAAGTGTTCTTCAATTAGTTTTCTCAAAGCCCCTTTGACACACAATGGCACACATAACCTAGCTCAGAGGACACCCTACCTGTTAGTAGTGTTTCCAGTTTGTGCTAAATCACGAAAAGAGCCCTTGAAGAATAAGGTAGTGTGAAAAAGGAAATTTTTAATTCCTCATGCCGGAGATTCCCATCTGTTGGAGTTTGGATAGGAACAAGCTGTGGTCTGCGCTGTTAAAAGCCTTTCTGAAGTCTAACTGGACGATCTCGCACAGAATTCGGTTGTCGAGGCTGGTGCTGAGTGCATGAGTGGAAGCTGCTAAGGCCGATTCGCAGCTCCTGCCGGGCGGAAACCATATTGGCGGGGGGTCCATTGTTTGGTTTAGCCATCGCAAGCCTTCGGACGGAGAACATCGTAGCAGTTGTCTGTTACGCGAACTCAAGCTGAGTTTAGATAAAGTTATATGTGCCGGAACTAGTGCTGGGTACTGTCTCTCCTCAACGTCGGGGCCCGACGTTGAGGAGAGACAGTACCCAGGACTAGTTCCGGCACATATAACTTTATCTAAACTCCGCTTGAGTTCGCGACACAGACAACTGCTACGACGTTCTCCGTCCGAAGGCTTGCGATGGCTAAACCGCCCTTTTTTGCTGTCCCTCTTCTTTGTCCTCTTTTCTTCCCCTGGCCGCGAGGCGAGGATTCTTTGTAATCTGGCGCGAACGCCACGGTGGGACACACACACACACACACACGTGCCCACACGCACAGCACCGAATGAGTCGGTAATACACTCCGTCACAGGTGGATGTTAGACTTGGGGGGGCACCGTGTGTCCCTTTTTGAGAGGCGTTACTGACTCAACTTTCCAGGATTTAGGAACAGAGCTGTGGGAGAGAAAATCGTTGAAGAGGCGAGTGAGGACGGGGGAGATACGGCCAGCACAGGATTTATGCAATGCAGGGTGGAAGCTGTCTGGTCCAGGGCGTTGAGAGGAGTTGACACAGGCGAGGGCTTCGTAGGTTTCACTTTGAAGAATGACTATGGAAGAGAGCGTGATTGCTGGTGTGGCCTTGATTGGCTGAGTTGTGGGTTGGGTGGGACAAAGGTTAGGTGCGGTAGGGTCAAGTAATGCTACAGCCTGAGAAAAGTGGTAAGAGAAGAGCTCTGCTATGTCGTCAAGATTAGAATAGGGCCTGCCGTGATGTGTGAAGACCGGCGCGTGGAACATTTTTTTTTATAGTGAAAACATGCCCAAGAGTTTGGGCTGGCAGGTTGATTTTGCTCTTAGTTGGTAGGTAATCGTTATGGGAGATATGGATGAGATGCTTGACTTCGGTACGTGCCTGGTGGGCTTGGTTAAGATTAGTGGGATTTAGAGGCACTTTTTTGAATAGTCGGTGTTTATGTCTGATTAAGACTGCAATCTCCTTTGTCATCCATGGAAGGCTGCCGAGCCTCCTGTTGATCCTTAAGGCCTGTTCACACTCTTGCGACCGAGCACGACTGAGAGAGACGAGATCTCTTAAAACTTCTTAAATGTTTTTAGAATGAGGGAACACACTGGCATTGCGGCGCCATCTATGCGGTGACCCTGGAACTGCATTTCACAAGAGCGAAGGTTTTGCGGGATTTCCGAAGTCAAATGTGCGTAATACCCATAGAAAGGCTCGTTTATAACATTGACAAAAGTTTTCCGAGCCAAGAAAGAAAGGATAATGCGCGAGAAATAAAAAAAAAATATACCGGACCGCCGAGTTTACATTACTTCCCAATAGATGGCGCCAGTGTGTTTTCTGGTTTAAGAAGTTTTAAGGAACCCAGGTTTAAGAGGTCGCAAGACTGTGAACGGGCCTTTAGGGTGAACACTTTTGTGCTGAATTGCTGATATGTTGAGTGAGGGGTTGTCGGCCTCGTCAGCCGATGGGTGATCAAACACGATGAACCAGGGAGCGAGGTGGATGACCTAATTGAGATGAGGGAAATCAGTGTTTTAGAACTGCTGGAATTTCTTGGCTTGATGACCTCGCTTAGAGCAATGAATATTGGTGAGGAGAGCACTGCGATCACTGCCTGGTAAGCTGGATTTCACTGTGCAGCGGTAGGATAAGGTGGGATTATTGGTGCGGATGTGGTCGAGGAATGTAGCATTGCTGTTTTGAAAAATGTAGAATGAGGTGTCATGAAGTTAGGTGAGGCCAGCAGTTTCCAATACGTCTTACAGCATGTCATCAAGTGGATCAGATGAACAGTGCAGAGAACTTGCTGGGGTCGACGCACTGTAGGCTCTTTTCGAGGAGGGCGTACGATTGTTCATGGAGGGAGGGTGGGCGGGCAGTAGGTAGACACCAAAAGAAGCTTTCCATGTTTACAAAATACCTCGACAAAGATGGCTTCTAGACCCGGAGGGGTTGGGGGGTCAAAACGTTAGCAGGGCAGGTGTTATGGCATAGCGAGGACGGAGTCCTTCGCCCCAAGGAGGGACAGTCTTGCTGGAATAAAGAGAATTGTGCGAGATTGATTAATTCCCCATTAATTACCCACCGAAGACAGGCGTCCAGCCATGTCTCGCACACAGCGAATATTGTATTCGGGAAAGATTACTTCAGCGCTTTAAACTCAGGAAGGTTGTTTTTTAGGAAGCAAACGTTGGAAAACCAAACGGGATTGGAGGATTGGAGTCTGTAGACTCCGATCGCGCACTTTTCACACGACAACTATGCCAAACGCGGAGTTGTCATGCGAACGGTGAACGCTGCCGATGTCGCGCGCCGGAGGCAGGTCGGAGAACTACTTGGTAGAGTTGGCGATGATGGTGGGGTACATAGGGGCTCCGTGCTGCTTAGGGGATGGAAAGAGGTCATCAGCCAGGGGTGCGAGCTGGCACGCCGCACAGAGCCACTCGGTTGATAATGAGGAGAGGCGTCTATACAAAGCGAGAGATACATCTTCACATTTCTGGTGGAACCACAAATCATAAACGTCGCATTGGAGAGTGGCGGCATTGTCGACAGACAGGAAACAGCAGGGGCAGGTGGGACGTGAGCAGGAGTTTGAAGGTACACCCGTGAGCGATATGAAGGTGAACAGCCCTCTTCTTGTTTTTGACGCTCCTGCAACTTTTGGAACAAGCTCTTTTCGAGAAGAGGGCTAGAACGCAAAGTTTAGACCCCAAGCCAAATACTATTTGAGACGTTGAGAGTTAATATAGCTTTAGAGAGCCGTGAAATGGGCAAGAATCCAGGTAAGGTGTTCACTTTCATATTGCCGGCGGGTGTGCTTCACCAGTGATCAGCAATAACGAGATTAGGTGAGGTTGTTGGCGAGGGCGATGAGTGAAGAATGCTCAGCCAGGAGGTTGCTTCATGGACGACAATGTTCAATGGTGACGCTGCAGTCAGAAAGTGGCATTCTAGGTGCTTACGGTTTGTCGATGATAGGTGATATTTTTGTTGAAGGGCCAGTAGCCCCGTTAGGCAGATCAGGTGACGGAGAGTTGTAAAGGCGCGCTGTCATTGAACCTAACAGCTAAACATTGTGCTGAAGAAATTGACTGGCTAAATCCAACATATCTCATAGAAAACTGACCAGGGCGGCAATGTTCGACATATGTCTTGTTTCTCCTAAGAAGTAAGGGAAGTGATGGAAGTGACCATATCGCGTCTGATTGGTCAGAGGCTCAAATGACGAAAGAGGGAACTTTCATAATTTGAGCCTCTAACCAATCAGAGGCAATATCTTCACTTCCATCACTTCCGTCTCTTTTTAGGAGAAACGAAACATTTGTCGTCGAACATAGCCCCAGGTGTGTTGAACATTCATCTTGGGGGGAAAGGACGGGCAGGTCAAATGCACTTCTAAGCACAGCTTTATTTACCACATTAGTTTGCAGTTACTGTTAAAGCAACTGGTTTGTAATCGCACTCGTTATGTAAAACTGTCGCGTCTGTGCAGTTTTTTCTTTTGCATGGTTTATGAATAGCTGTTTTGAAATACCTTTACCGCGACTTTACTTCTACGTGTTTAGACTATGTTTGTTGGTCCTAGGTTTATCGTTTTTTATGCACATAGCTTGAAGGCTAACATTCAATTTGTTTGTACTACCGTGTATGTTCGATAATACCCGTCAGCAACCGCATCATTGCATGTGCTGTTTGTAACATTTTCTTATAAATTGTACTATGTAGAGCGAAAATAAACATTTGCCTGCTTGAAATAACTCTTGTGTGAATAAATTACCTGTGATTGTCGTCCAGTGGTGCGCACGTCACAATAAAGCGAAAGCGCAACGCAAGCGGACCAGAGACGGCTCTGAAGCGGACGCGAGAACCGGGTACACGAAATGCCATGGGGGCCGCCATCTTGAAAACCAAAACAAGAAAAACGAAGCATAAAATGTGGTTAGTTACCCCATCCGTGGTGAGAGGGCGCTTTTACGTGTTTAAATAATTGTTTGAGGAACTTTCGCTCTTTTTTAGTTATTAGGTTATCAATATAATGTATATTGTGTGAGTAATATGTAATGAGTTTAGTTCTAAAATGTACTTTTATTCACACAAGGCCCTCGATCACGTGGTTTGCGATTACCACAGGCTTATTCTACAGTGGGCAAACTGTGTATGATAAACTGTGGTGTCAACCACGTGTTAACGTGCATTGCGGTCTCCCGTTAACCTCTTTGTTGGTCGCTGCGGTAACGATAATTTTGGTGCAATGGCTGTGGAGCCCGTTCTCGCACGTATAATTGCCAGAGCCAAGCAAGCGGACGCACTGATCGCCACACTAGTCACTCAAGTGGAGTCGCTACGTGCTGCTAGAATCGAGCAGTATACCCAATCCGAGTGCGCTCGTCTGCGGCATGAAAACGAAGCCCTTCACCGTGAAGTTCAGGTCTGGAAGGACCGGCTCGTCGCCGCTGAAATCTGCAACGGAGCAGAGCAAGTATCGACCTCGTATACTGCCCCAAGTAAGCCTGAAGCTGATAAAATTAGTGATCAAACGCCGGTTTCTCAACAACCGGAAGCTGGAGCCGGCGACCAAGCTAAAAAACGAGCCAACGCACCAAAGTCAGAGTCGAAGCCACCGCCATCTAAAAAGGAGAAACCGGAACCCAAAAAGAAAGCAGACGACGCGGATGACTCGAAGCCGGTGGATGTCAGCCGTCTAGATCTTCGCGTTGGTCGCATCCTGACTGCCCACAAACATCCAGACGCAGACGCACTTTATGTGGAGCAGGTTGATGTGGGTGAAGAAAAACCAAGAACCGTTGTCTCGGGTTTGGTCAGGTTCGTACCACTTGAGCAGATGCAGAACCGCATGGCCGTGCTCATGTGCAACCTGAAGCCCGCCAAGATGCGCGGCGTTACTTCTGAAGCCATGGTGATGTGTGCAAGCACGCCTGACAGGGTGGAGATCTTGAAGCCGCCCCAAGATGCTGTGCCTGGGGACAGGGTCACCTGTGTGGAATTCCCGGGTGCTCCAGACGCTCAGCTAAACCCAAAGAAGAAGATATTCGAGCAAGTCGCACCAGACTTGAAGACCGATGGAGAGAGGAGGGCTACCTACAAGGGCTGTCCTTGGGTTGTGCTCGGCAAGGATGGCCACATCACCTCCGAAACGCTGACAAACGTTCAGATAAAATAGATTAGTGAAAACCTGCAATGCTGTACCACAGAATAAGAATTGTCTCAGTTTTCAGTCTGGGTGTTTCCAAGAGACTGAAGTGCCTGCAATATGACCGAGACTTGTTGCAGTGCCGTGTAAATTCATGCTCAGTCTTTATCCTAGACATGCCAGATAAGCATTCCTAAAACCCAAGACTGAAGCTACAAAAATGGGACAAACACAAGACGTCTCAAACACAGCTACTAAACTTTCTTCAGGACACTTCTTTTATGCCCATCACCTCCACACCACCCTCCATTTGTACACGGCCGAATCGTTCGCTAGTTTATAGACGACTACAAAAGATGGCCTAAGTCACTTCCATTCACCAACAAAACATCCCCAACACTTTTTTTTTTTTTACGATTGCAAGCATTTGGGATGTTTTGTCGGTGGATGGAACTGACCTTGGCCATTGTGTAGAGGGCGAGGTCCTTTGTTTCTTGTGGACCTTTTCATCATCTTTTGTAATCGTGTGTAAACTGTGGTGAACTATTGGGTCGTGTACGAGTGGAGGGTGGTGTCACTTCCATCCACCGACGAAACATCCCAAATGCTTGCAATCGTTAAAAAAAAAGAAAAATGTGTTGGGGATGTTTTGTTAGTGGATGGAAGTGACCTAGGCCATTATGTAGATGGCGTGGTCCTTTGACTATCTTTTGTAGTCTTATATAAACTGTAGCGAACGATTGGGCCGTGTGCAAGTGGAGGGTGGTGTAGAGATTACAGGTATAAAAGTGTCCTGAAGAAAATTTCGTAGCCGTGTTTGAGAAGTCTTGTGTTTGTAGCCTCCGTTTTGGGTTTTAGAAATGTTTAACTTTAACCAGCTTGCCTGCCTTATTACGTTATCTTCAAACATGCCAGATCTTTGCTGGCCATATAAATTGCAAATATTTTTACATTCAAATTCTCAGCACTTGGTATAACATTGCAGCTGCTATACCAAGCTATATCAGACGTGTGGCATATCACGACTATGTGAACCTTGCAAATGGATACATTTATTAATGGAAAGTCTGGAAAAACAGAACATACAGGGGGTGTTTTTTTGTTTTTTTTTTAAGCTTTACAGATTTATTTAAAAAAAGCTGTGAAAGCTACATTTATGCAGTTTGTGCAAGTGAGTTATACAGCCAGAGGGATATAGTATATGGGGTTAACAGTAACAATCAGTTGGCTAATTAAGTAAAATTTGTTAATTAACTTTGTAATTAGTGAAAATAGTTATAGTTCCAATTGGAAACTTGCTGAGCGTCGTCCAAAACCCCTAAATCAGTAATTTTTAGAAAGATTGAGCGCGTGAGAAGTGCAGTAGGGCGCTAAAGTTGCCACTCATGGAGCAGGTACAAGGCTGGGGCTCTCGTAAGACAGAAAAATTGTGCGGGCGCCTTACCACTAGCCTTGTACCTGCTCCACGAGTGGTAACTGTAGTGCACTACTACGCTTCTCGCGCGCTCAGTCTTTCTGAAAATTACTGATTTAGGGGTTTTGGACGACGCTCCGCAAGTTTTCAATTGGAACCATATGACTATTTTCATTAATTAATAAGTTAATTAACGAACTTTACTTAGTTAGCCAACTTATCATTATGATTAGCCCCCTACTCTATGTCCCCCTGGCCGTTTAACTCACCTGCACAAACCACACAAGTGTAGCTTTCACAACTATTTTTAAAGCAAACCTGTAAAGCTTAAAAAAAAACAAAAAACTATATAGATGGCAGTACATTGTACATAAATATGTAGTATAACAAAAATTCATTGCAACTCTGGGTCCCTAATTATTCATATAAAAATAGTGCATTCACTTTTCCCAAAACCTAACACCCAAGCATGCCAATAGCAGTAGTGGTTGAACACTTTTAAGCAAGAACAATCTATGACTGGACTTGTAAGAACTGGACAGAGCAGGATGTTTTCAATTAACAAAACTGCAGCATAGATGCATGCCCCAGGGAATTTTCCACCTTCTAAAGAGTCCACGTAGGAATGTAATAGCCACAATCGAAAACATTCGTCCTAAACGCGTAGTAAAATAGAAACATGATTTTACTGTTTTGTGCAACAAAGCAGACAGGCAAAGGAAAATGATTGGGTGACTTTGGCAGCTACTAGTAAAGCACTGCATGGGCCGGGCAGGGCCCGAGTAGCGTCTTTACTGGGCGGTCAGCTGGATTTCGAGTGGAGTGGGGAATCTAGAGATTCCGGCCCGTGCAGGTCTCTAGCTACTAGGTGAACACTCAAGCATGTCACGTCATTAAAATACTTGCCGAGAACCAATCTCCATTCACTCCTAAGCTGACACGGCAGTGTCAGCTTAGGACACGGCTGCACCATTCACACACTTGCTACCGAGTAGGACGGAGAGAGACAAGACTGGTTTTTAAGCCCCTTGCGACGTCTTAGGACTGGGTGTGCTGCTGCGGAGCTGGTCCCAAGAGGTCGCAAGAGGCTTAAAAACAGGTCTTGTCTGTCTCGGTCGTTCTCGGTTACAAGTGTGTGAACAAGCCACCAGAACAATGCTAACCAACACATAAAAAGATAAAAAATAAAAACGTCGGGTGGGTGCTTCAGTGCATGCTGGCTCCTTGTATAACTCTAGACAGACCTTGAGCAACACATCAAGATGTCAGTTTTCGGGGCTCTCATGCGGCTGACGCCGACAGGAATGAGTGAACTCCAGGCTCTCGTGAACGAGTCGTAGTAACGCGTAGTGCTCCCGACGAACGGTGAGTAAGAAGGGTCCTTCGTTACCGCTGTCCGAGCCCGAACTGTGACTCGGGGCTGCCGCCTGTTCGTCGTGCCTGCGGTCGCGACAAGGGCAGGCACAGACCTTCACTTCGATCACCCTGCGCGCAATGTCGCGCCCCTCGGGTGACTGGAGGATGAAGACGACCTCGGTGGCTTTCCGACCCGGACTCCCAGGGCAGCTGTTGCGGCACATGAAGGCCAGGTGATAGGTGAAGGGGTCGTTGCTGGCGGCCTCCGGTGCCTCGAAGGGCAGGCACAGGCATTGGCGGCCCCCGTTGGCCTCGTCCAGACAGTACCGGGTTCGCGGGTGGTCGCAGCGGATCCAGAAGCACGGGAACGGATGTTTACCGCTTGGCAGCTGGTTGGAGCCGTCTTCGAGTCGTGCGTGCGCGGTGCAGCGCTCCACGTTGTGTCGCCTAAACTCGGAGTCCAGAAAGACGCCCACCACGCAGACGACCGAGCCGCGTGGTGGGGCTCGCTCCGTTATGAAGTGCACGGAGCAAAACTCGTTCATGTTCGTGTACAGCTTCCGCTTGGCGTTGGAGTACGTCCAGGACGTGCTGTTTCTCACCCCCTCAGGCTTGACGAAGACGACCCTGAAGCCAAAGTCCCCCGCCCAGTCGGCCACAGACTCGTTGACGCTGGACGTGTTGGGGCTCGCTGACGCGGTGGCCATCGCCTGGCTGCGAGGAACTGCCGGAGTCAGCGCGTTCCAGTCTGACCACTCCCAATTACATTGCTGGAAGTCAGCTGGAAGTGAGAGCGTTTCTGGAACTTGTGCCACTTGTATTACGTCCTCAGGCGCCCACGGTAACTCGGCCAGCTCGACGTCGTTGCTTTCGGCCGATTGGACGGTGTGATGCCAGTGATGCGTCATCTTGAGTCACCAGTAATGCGTCACCAGCAGCTACCGAGAGCCACGAGTGCTACGAAGGTTCAGCCAGTGCAACCACGACGGACACGCAACCACCTGCAATCCACATCGGCCTTCGACCACTTCGACTACTCGGAGTGGGGAGGTGGGGACGCGCCAGGGACGCGCCGACTTGTTCAGACATGCATCCTTGCGCTGGCTCAATACGAGTTGAACTTGCCGCGACCGGAACGACCGAAACCGCCGAAACAACCGAAACAGGGTTACGCCAATAGCAGCTCGAGCTCGCAAAATTAGAGCGAAACTTGATGGAATTGTGACAACATTTCAATATTAAATATTATTGTGGTATAAATTATATAAATTATTTTTATTGTGAAATATGTATTTTTCTTCTTCTAAATTTAAGTACTATATACCGGCTTGGCGGAAGCCAATCGGCTATGTAGCCGCTTGCCGCACATGGCGCCGTTGAATCCAATCCAACTCTTCCACTTTTTTTTTCTTGCGTTGGTTCATTGATTGATCCCGCTTTGCATCAGCAGAGTGCCGAGTGCTTTCCAGGCGTCGAAGAACTACGAGCGTGAGCCGGCGCACGAGGTGCGTAAATCTGTCGGTTGTACTGCGCCCGCACCCGTCACTTTTACGTGGTTACCACTGTCCGTCTGACTGAGTCTTGCAGATTGAGAGGTGAGAAAAGTTTTTAAATGTACGTACCTCCCGACTGATTTCTGCCCTGCTTCTTTGTAAGCGTATGGAAGCGTAGGCTGCTAGTTTAGCGTTTCGTTTCATTTGAAGGTTTACTACGATCTCCCCATCAGCGGTTATGTCTTGAAATTTTACTAATTGATGTAGTTGAGGAGCTTGGGGGCTTTTTTTTCTTCAGTCGCATGGCATACTAAAATGGGCAAGAACGTCCGTGGCGAGTTGTGTTTTCTTTTAATCGGCTACAAGCTGCTTTTCCCCCGCCTGACGCAATGATCGCGTTGTTTTCGTAGGCCCGCGTGTAAAACTTGTACACGCAGATCGGTACCCATCCGGACCATTACGTCGCCTGTGAAGCTACGGAAGAAAACTTGACGCGTGTAAGACGGGTTCCCTGCGAGCTGGCCCTTCGGGAACCGGTTTTGACGGCTATCGAGCACGCGCGTCGTTGTCCACAGTGCGGTCGTCGCTTGTCATCTCTGTCGTCGCATACGGGCCGGATGTCCACTACTAGTAACTGCGAGGAGATGCTTAAGGTTGGGCCCGGTTACATCTCCACACCCACGATTCAAACTGATGCACGCATTCAGTAAAGTTGTCCAACTTAAAACTAGCCCGGGCTCATAGCTTTATCTTTGGCCGTTGCTCCTGCTGTGCGAGGTCCTCGAGTAAAGAGCTCGCACTTGTTTACCCCAGGAGTAGTACTACCATTCCGGTTGAGTTACGCAATAAAGGGCTGAGAAGCAAATATTTAGATGAAGCAGTACTTGGTCCAAAAACACTGAATAGTGCAAAATGCATGAACAGAGCAGAGATCCTGAGATCCTTTTCGAGTGGAAATGAACCGACAATATAAAACTATTATTTACGGCGCATGTGGCGCTCGAGGCTTGGGAACGGTAGAGTAACTGTATAGGCTCTGCTTGCAGAGCCAGAGTGTCACATTCCTTTTCCTTTCGCCATCAACTCCGTATTGGCGGAGAAGTGGTCACAATCACCGAGCTGGATCAGACTTTCGTGGGGGAAAGCGACCTTGCAGGCGGCGCGTTTCGGGCGGATCATTTTTCTCGCTTTGTGTTTGCGAAATATGCATCTTACACTAAAATAGAACAAACTGGAAGGTTCCTTGACCATTCAACATTATGTCTAGCCACTGGATACAGTATACTCACATTGTTTTATAATGTGAGCAATGTTTTAAAACATTTTCGAAGTCTAGGAAGACGACGAAACAGAAGACTATCACTTAGCTTGCGTCTGCAGTGCTCGCGGAGTGATACCCGAGTGTTGGATCTGGGCACTTTGGGTCAGACAACAATGCATAGCTATGGCTTGCAAAAGGACGGTGGTTTCGTCGGCTACTACATTCTACCGAAAGCATACAGAGAAACAGGAGACAAATGACGAGACGACAGCGCACGCGCGGCACGTCGTCACACTATATCTTCTCCGCTCTGCACGCCACCTCACAGCCACGCCATCTGTGCATCCGGGGCTTTTGCACAAGCGACAGTCGCCTCCCGCAGTGCGGCCTTTGATCCAACATGGCCGCCCTGGGAGTGCCATCACGGTACTCTGCTCCACAAGCAGAACGTATACAGTTACTCTTGGGAAGGGGGGCTAGCAGCCGCAGGATGCTTGTGGGCCGCATACCAAAGAGTCGCGGGCTGCGTGTTTAAGACCCCTGCTCTATGGCCGTATCGCCCTTTGCACTTTTGCAGCCAGAATCATAATTAAGATTGAAAGATGGGCTAGTTGGTATATCATTGGACGGAAGTGCCGAACGAACGAGGACATAGAAGCAGACAAAGATGTCAACGATCATCCTAAACTGTAAAAAGGGGTATAGTTTCGTGCCTAATGAGAGCCTCGCTGGCAAAGTCTTGCCATCATCTTGCTGAAGAGAGCTTTTTGGGGCAGGTGAACCGTCTCAAACACGGAGGATATCTCGATTGTTTTTTGGGGGAAGTAGTGAATACCTTTGTTACAACGCTGAAAAAAAAAAGAGAGGACACAATGACTCCAGCTAGAACCAAAACGAAACCAGTGGTAATCCCTTACATTCATAATCTGTCCCACAATTTAAAATAGGTGGCTTCACACTTCAAGGTGCTGGTAGTGTCTTCTGCCCCATGTGTTCAAAAATAAATGAAGAAACGGAAGATGCCAAGGCGTGGCTACAAGAAGCACACAAAGCAGTTTGTAGATTGTGCCGTCTCTAGGGTGTACAACATTCCCATCAGTTGTGGAAAATCGTATGTCGGGCAGAGGGGTAGATGTATTAACGAGAGGGCAAGAGAACATGCATGGTCATTAAGATACTCTCCGTCGGGCAATCAAGCAGTACACTACAATAGGTGCCCATGCGACCCGGATTTGGGTTGAACAATTAGCAGAAATCGCGCATACCATGGGCGTACCAACCGGGGGGGGCAAGGGAAGCGCTTGCCCCCCCCCAAGACGGCCGCCACTGGGCAGGGCAAACACTGGCCGGTGGTGCCCAAGGGATACTAAGGGCACCGCCCCCCGGCCTTAGGGGGGGGGATCCGGTTTGCCTCCCCACTCAAAAGCAAGTTGGTAGGCCACTGGTGCATACAAAGCCGCCCAAGAAATTTTTAAGGCACTTTGCGTTAGACAGCAAGGAGAGCACGCGTGTCTGTGTGCCATCACTACATCTGACAGAAAGAATTTTCCTTTCTGTGCAAGCAGCCAGTTAGGCAGTACTAATAGTATATGTTTTTTTCTAAATAAATCTTCAGTTGTTAATGCACCACGTCTTTGTCTACTTCTTCGTCTCTGTTTGTTTGGCTCTTCCGTTGAACGAAATCGTAACTTCAATTTTCTTCATTTATTGGGCTTTTTTTTTTTCTTTTTTTCAGTTATATCAAATTCCTGTTGATGTGACAAAAGGTTGGGATATGATTTTTGCTCTTCGAAGTAGCTTAATAAGGTTGACAGTCCTGACTTATTTTGGGTATGGTGGTGCCATAGTTATAAAACTCGCTCAAGTCACTGAAAATCGGTATGCAATGAGTAATGCATACTCTTATTACACATCAGTAATTATTTAGTAGTGCATACTCTTATTAAACATGCTGTGAAGACAAAAATTCGGAAGAGACACTTAAGACTGCTTATGTGTAGGAATGCAAAAGCATTCCTACGTGTAGCGCATTCCTATAAGCGGCGTGCCAGGTTTTCCTTTTTCACACGGTGCTTTGTTGGTGACATCACGCTCCCCCACTGCGCAGGCGCGGCTAACCCCATTGGCTTCACGAAGGCTTCTGTGATGAAGCATCTGTGTTGCTGTGCTTTTCTTTGTGATTTATTTCTGAGGCCCGTGCTTGATGACGTATTGGTGTGATCATCTTTCGGGCGCAACGCCGCCGCTTTTTTGCGTAATGGTACAAGTAAGCCTTTTGCCTTAATATAACAACTGATGTTGGTAACTCCTTTGTTTTAATGTTCTACAGGAGGTTCTGCTATCATGACTACAGCTGCAGAAATCCGGCAGCAGTTTATAGACTTTTTTGTCCAGAAGTATGACCATCTTCACGTGAGATCGTCATCCGTGATCCCTCATGATGATCCCACACTCCTCTTTACAAATGCTGGCATGAACCAGGTAAGTGTGCTCCTTGGGTTTCAATGAACAGGCTGATGCAGTAGAGGTCCTTTCACATTGAGGAAACAGTGAAAACATCAACACAGCATTTCCACCAACAGTCGGTGAACTTGTCGTTCATTCGCTCTGTTTTTTTATAGTCCTGTCGCATTGCTGGAATATCAGCACAACATGGATGATGGACATGATGCTGCTTCAGTGTGACAGCTTTGGCAACTGAAGTGCCAGCAACTTGTGTTGGACATTGCATGTTGCCTTGTTCAGTGGATGAGCAAATTTTGTGCCCCAACACGACAACACAAATAGCTTTGATTGTAGAGTTCCCAATCAGTGATATGTGTTTTTCTAAGAAATTACCTAAATAGAGTCTTGCAGGTGCTAGTTAACATAAATTAAGCCTGATGTGCAGCTGTGATGACTTGCTGTGTGCTTTTCTTACATAATTACGGAAAGCGATTGTCGAAAAGGTCACAGTTGCAATCTTGAATATTCAAACTGTCTTTGAAATTCGACTTACTGGCAATGATCAACCTACATTAGCAGAAGAGCATGATATGCCTACTCACTCATTGAAAAAATATTCAAAATCATCCTCGAAGACAAGTGATACAAAAGTCTGAGCATGAAAACAACTGCCGCAGATCCTGATTGTTGATGCTTGGAGCTTGAAAATGGCTGCTGCTGGACGCCTAAAATTGTTTTAAAACCTCAGTAAGTTTTGGCAAATGTAGCAGTCCAAAGCAGACAAGAAAGGCAAAGAGGCAACATCAAAAATTATTTATTATAATGATAGTTGTGACTGCCGAACTGTCAGTCGCAGTTTGTGAACATTGTCAGCTCATCTGAGTTCCATGCGACACAAAATGCTTTGGGTTACAGATGGTGTTAACCCATTTTGCACTAAAAATGGGAATTGCATGAAATGCAACACCTCTTCATATGCTGGTGTAAATCATTAAAATAGCAGCAACTTCATCTTCCTCAGCTGCTTTGTCAGCGAACGAAAAGCATTCCACTAAATTAAGGAGCGGAAAATACTTCTCACATTGATTTTTCCAATCACTCTCATTGGTGAATGTCGTCCTATAGTAATTTTACGCACATGAAGGAAGGTAAGCGAACAATACGCAGGATGTTCCCCGTCTTTGCCGCACCATTGTGTATTTATTTATTTATTTTTACGTACTACTCCCCGTGGTCCGTGGCAGAGAGGAACATACATTTAACAGAACAATAAGTATCATACCTCCAGTAAAGCATTAAATGGGTGTTTTTCGACTGTCGGAGAACAATTTGGTCAGGATGGTTGCCAACTAATAAGGTTTCCTAACAGGTGCTGTTTCCTCAGTGTAACAAAGTCACCGAAAATATGTTTCCTTTGTGTTGACGAACAAAGTTGTCCAACTGATTCCTCAATGTTGCAGCACCTTGATTGTGCCTTGCATGGGCCAATTTGTAATCTCTAAAGAAGAATGTACCAGTATCTGGGCTTAATTTGAGTGCAATCCCGGGACCCAAGTAACATTGACTTTGCTTGATCTGTGTCCAGTTCAAGCCCATCTTTCTTGGAACTGTGGATCCGAACAGCGATGCTGGAAAGTACAAGAGGGTGGTTGACACCCAGAAGTGCATTCGTGCCGGTGGGAAGCACAACGACCTTGACGATGTCGGCAAGGATGTCTACCACCACACCTTCTTTGAGATGCTTGGAAACTGGTCCTTTGGTGACTTCTTCAAGGCAAACTCATCCTTCTCTCATTCTGTGTCAATTGAAGAAGCTAGGAAACGGTTAAAAATGGAACTGATCCCACTGATCTGAGAAAAAGCCCTCTCAGTGGAGCTCTCGAATATGTTGTAGGAGTGAGCAGTTTTTCTTTTGTGTTGTAATGAAATGCGAGGTGGGATCCATACATTCCGGTACTCAGCCTTTAAGTCAAGGGTTTGTTAGGGCTATGGGACTGACATGTGTCTTCCTTCACGAGAAAAAAAGCCCCCTTTACAACAACCATGCTTCTGCCAGTGGGTGCAGAACTGGTCAATGTAGTTCTCAAATACATCCTTCACAGTGTACTTAGATTTAATTAGTGTTAAGTTTTTTTACTTCTGTCTTCGAAAACAGACGATCCTGAAGCCGGCGTGCTCCAGGAATGGGAAGAAGGAATGTAAATCCTGAAGAGCTTCAAAATGGATTCGGAAGGGACAGAAGTCTAGAAAATAACCTGCTCATCATCACTCTATGTATAGAGAGAGCAATGAAGAGCCAGAGCCCCTGATGGTTGGCGTATTTGGACATCAAGGGAGCGTACAATAATATGAACCAGGAAAAACTCTGGGACCAGCTGAAGTGGTATAACTTAGGTGCAAATTTGATTAGGTTTCTTGAATGGGTGTACACGGACAGTAAGGGAGTTATAACATGGGAAACAAACTACACGACCACCAGCAATAAAAGGAGGGCTTAGACAGTGCTGCTCACTGTCACCCCTGCTCATCATGATATACCTAAGTTAAATGGAAAAGAAATTAGAGCAGGGAAATTTTAGAGCAAGGAAATTTAGGTTTTGATGTGAGTTATATGGAAGGCGGGAGAAATCTATTACAAGTAATCTCGGGGCTAATGTATGCAGACGATATAATACTCATAGCAGATGACTGCAATACATTTCACTAACTGGAATATGTGGAAAGGAAGGAGACAGCTTGAACTTGAGTTTTAGTAATGACAAGTCTGGAGTAATGGTGTTTAACGACGCAACGAGGGAACCTCTGAGGTTACAAGACATTGTAATAGGCCATGTAGGAAAATACAAATAGTATCTGGGAGTCTGGCTGAATGAGGGAAGGAAATCTAGAGGAACATGAGGAGAATTAAAAAAGAGAAAAGAAATTCACGTATTATGACGCTCAAGGTGCTATGGAATTATAATAGATATGAAGTGGTCAGGGGTATATGGAAAGGAGTATTGGTGCCAGGACCGTCTTTTGGCAATGGGGTACTGTGTGTGAAATCAGAGGTTCAATCAGAATTGTAAATTGGACAAAGGAGTGTGGGCAGGTTAGCACTGGGAGCGGGTACAGATTCGTCTGGCGTCGCACCAGGCTCGAGGAGGAGGAGGAAAGAAGGAGGGAGAGGGGAAAGAGGAAGGAGAGGAGGAATATATATAGAGAGAGAGAGAGAAGAGGAGGAAACTAAGGAAAGGCCCCCCGGAAAGTGTGTTGTGAAAAAAGAAAAAAGGGGGGGGGGGGGGGGGGGGGGGCATGCGGTTGGGGACGTCCCCCGCCGATTTGTTGTGGGTAAGCAGACGATTTGAATGTTTGACTAAACGCTGGTCGCTTACTGTTAGAGATAATTAATAGGGTTAATATTATTAATACCCTCTGCTCAGCGCACCGTGGTGATTTCTGAGCGGAATAGGAACAGCCCCATTCAAATAAGTTTGGGAAACAAATTTTTACCCAGGATTGACCCACTGCCGAAAATAACTATAATTTACGTTGTGAAATAAAATAAAAAACAACCTAAATTCCAAGTGCTAAGAAAGCAGCTATACGAAATCGAAACCATTAATCTAGTAGGTTCTTGAAAACCCGAGAAATAGGCCCGATTATTTGTAACAGTACTCATGCACAAAAAATCGGCAAGGAACGTCCCCAACCGCATGCCCCCCCCCCCCCCCCCCCCCCCCCCTTTTTATTTTTTTACGACAAACTTTTTGGGGGCCTTTTTCCCAGTTTCCTCCTTACCCCTTTCTCTCTCTCTCTATCCCCCCTCTCCTTCCTTCTTTCCTCCTCTCCCTCCTTTTTTCCTCCTCCTCCTCGAGCCTGGTGCGACGCCAGACGAATCTGTACCCTGGGAGCGCATGGAAACACATTGAATGAGGGAGTGCAGGGGGGCATAGACTGGTTGCCTTTGAGAGCAGAGAGGCAGTTAGTAAATTGGCATTTGAAAAAAGGTTAGCTGAAATGGATGATACCTGGTGGGCACGGAAAGAATTCCTGTATTTATACTTGAAAAGCTTAAACACAAAATGGACAAACCGAACCTGGAAGCTGACAAATAAATACCTGCGCACTAGTGATTGGGCTGAGCATACTAGTACAGTGAAAGAGGAAAATAGAAAAATGTGGGAGAAAAGAATGCAAGAAAAAGTCAACTGTAACATTGTATAGGTCACAAAAGCAGGACATAAGAAGGGAAAAGGTGTTTGATAATTCACGTGGAAGTTCTTTGCTGTTTGAGACGAGAACGGGAGTGTTAAAAACGAAGACGTATAGGGCTAAATTTCAAGAGATGGACAGGTTATGTGCCGCATGCCATAGTGAGACTGGGACACTAGAGCGTTTAGTTTTGAAGTGCATGGGGGCTTCGCCCTGCCCTCCCTGATTGGGTAACGGATCTGTCGAGGGGCGCTCGGTTTTGCTGGTGAGGATGGAAGAATGGAGGCGAAAAGATTTACAGTCACAAAGTGGAGAAGATTGGTGGAAGTTATACTGGAAAAATTGCATGATGTAATACTAACTAGCACAGCTGGGGACATGCGGGACAGAGGAAAATTGGAACTCCATCCCGCGTGGGCTTAAAGTCTCACCCTGTTTCCCAGTGGCTTTGGCACCAAGAAAGGGCGTGTACAGTAGTGATACTCTCGCCCCTTTACTTATAATATTTGCGGTTGAGGCGCAGTGCGTTCGGCTACTTGTAATTGCGCCAGGGGTCATTTGATTGCCCCCCTCGCCACTCGCTCTTTCTCGCCTTCGCTCGCCCATTCCCTCAGTGCTCTGAGGCTTTGTGACCAAAAGTGGGGTGGACAAAGCAAGCAGAGGCTGCTAGACGGCATAAACGCGCTTGTGAGAGAACGTCATCGTTGTGTAGGCACTGACGGTCTCGCCCTGGGTGTTGGGATGGAATGCATTCGACGTCGAGCTCGCGCTGTGCGTGAATGTGGAGCAGCACGTAGAGGAGAACGTTACCGAGTGAAGGATGGACATGCTGGTACGACCGAGCAATGTATGCAGCTCGTCCGCGAGAATGTGTTTGGTGCTAGCTGTTCTGTGTGGGGTCAGTTCTGGTTTACGCGAGACCTGGTGTCTTTGCCGCATCTTGCCACGAGGCTCTTCAGTCGTCATACCCGGACAGTGACCCGACTGCCTTCAAGGTGTGTGCTACATGCCTATGCTGTGTTCGTGCATAGGCATGTAGCGCACACGTAACATTCACTGTGGGGCACCATTTTTTTTTTTTTTTATATATTGAATTGTTTAGTTACTGAAATTTCCACTCAATCGCGAAATAATATCATTGAAATGTCGCACCAGCTGACATTGTCCCTTCGGATCACGTCGCATAATCATCTGCACAGTTTTTTTTTTTTTCTCAATGTTTACGAGTTTTTAAAGGGATACTTCAACGAAACTTGAAATATTCCCGTCTGTTCAAAAATAGGTTGAATATAATCCACAATATCCGTAAATGACAATCGTACGTTTGTATTTTGAGCCTGGTGGCTCTATATTTCATTATAAACGGCCCACTCTGGCAAGCGCTCGGAGAAGGCCCAGCGGAGACCACGTGACATCCAATGCAATCGTGACGTAGGTCCTCTCAAGACGAGCAAAGCTACGGCGAGGCTGACGTCGAGAGGATGGCCTAGTCGTTCCAGCCACCGAAGCGGCTGCTTTTGTAGGAATCTTGAGTGACGGGTAGGGTGACCAGACGTCCCGTTTTGGCCGGGACAGTCCCGTTTTTGAGGCCCGCTTTTGCCGTCCCGTCTTTTTGTCCCAATAATGAATCATGTCCCGTTTTCGTAGAAGTGCATAGTTTCGAAAATGGCACTAAGCGAGTTGAAGCAAATCGAAAATATGCCTACTCGTTACAAGTATATTCTACAAAAATAACCGTAGGTACTTTAAAATATTTACCCAGAGAGAAAATTTTAGAAATGTTCTTGTCCACAAACACTTCTTCTCTCGCGAAGACGCGTGTGTAGAAATATATATATTTCAAAATTTTTTCTCTCTGCGTAAGTATATATATTAGGTACTGGATACAGCACGCATGTAGAATCTCGTTTGGCTACACTTCACTCTTTCGAAAATGCCGACGAAACGTACGTGTGTGTTCACCAATGGACCCTTGTCAAGAAAAGCATTGAAAAGAAACTAGAAGAGGAACTCTTCAGGTCTCTCAGAGATGAGTGCAAGTCTTTAAAGAGATGAAAACAGAATGCATTCTGGCGCCGAGATTTCCCGGGTCGTGGAAATGGCTCTGTGCTACTCTGGAAGCACGTCTCCAGTGGAGCGCGTCTTTTCAATTATGAACTCCATGTGAACATGCGAGACGTTTCGCCTTCTTGTCTCAACATTGCGAGCAACGCTACTTGTGCGGTTCAACTTCCCATATAAATGCGCAGACGTTTACAACCAAGTCTTCCAGGATAAAGTCCTGCTTAGAAAACTTCCGTCGTTGACAAATTACGGCCACACCAACGAAGGACCCGAAGCAGGACCTTCCAAATGAGTGCATGCAACTGAAGTGTGAGTGTGGCTGTTTCCTAGGGCTTAGTGCAATATGCGAACGTTATGAAATAAGACAAATTCTTTCATTAAATTTTTCTTCCTAACTCAAGCTTTAGTACGCCCCTCCTCCTCCCCTCCCCCCTCCCTCCCCTCCCCCCCCCCTTTCCCGCCGCCGCGGCTGGGATGTCCCGTTTTCTGCGTTGAGGAATATGGTCACCCTAGTGACGGGTTAATCTTCTGTAATCTTGTAGGGGGACAATAGCGACTTCTGCGACACACAAAAGGCATTCTCGGGAAGAGGGGAGTTCCTCCTGCCCCTCTTCTCTCGTCGTGGCCGGAGGCGAGACAACCTCCGTCACTAGCTGTCAAGGTTCCTAGACGGGCATTACATGCGAGGCGTTAGCGACATCCACCAGGGGCTCTTTGCTAATCGTTTAATTTGTTTTAAAACTCCTTTTCGTGACTTTTTTAACAAGATATTGGTCTGTTCGATGTGATGCTGCTCCTTTGAACACATATAGATTAAAATAATGAGTGCCGAAATTTCGTTGTAGTATCCCTTTAAAACATAATTTAACTATTTTTTTTTCCTAAAGAAAGATTCTTTTTTTTAGTCGCTGTGCATTCCGGAAGAACGAACAAGTGAGAAAAGCACTCCCAGAAATTTACTGGAGTGAACACATGTTTGTTGCTGTACAAACACAGTCCCAGAACGTCTGGATCCTAGCTTGTATGACGCTGATCCACTTGAAAGCGGAGGTAAAAATCTGTTCCCCAATACATGATAGGACTTTTTATCCCACAACTTTTTGCTTTAAAATGAATTAATCGAGCTTCTCTCTTTTTTTTTTTTAAATTTGAGGTGCTTCATTATTGTTGAGTTGCAATAGGGGTTTGTTCCATTCCCTATTTTGGGGATCCCTTTGAAAGCTAAAGGATTTTTATGGTGGGATTACAGCCAGGATACCGCACTAACAATAAGAGCATTAATAAGCCGCTGGCATAAGGTGCAGAATTTGTTGGTTCTTTTCCATTCATTCTATTAATTTTGTTCTTGTCAGGAAGTTTGCACCACTTGCGTTGTTTTGTGGAACATTTTTTTGCGAGCATTCCTCTCTGACGTGTACCTGAATGATCTGTGTTTGTCATCGCAGAAAGAAATCTGCTCGTGGGCCTGGGAGTTGCTCACCAAGGTGTACAAGCTTCAAGGGGAGAGGCTCTATGTGACATACTTTGGGGGCAACGAGGCAGCAGGGCTTGAGCCAGACTTGGAGTGCAAGCAGATCTGGATGAATCTTGGGTCAGTTGGAGCAAGGCTTCCGAGTTCTTAATTGTCTGCCATGTTTTATATCATTATTGGTAATGGTGTCGAGTTCTAGAGAAGGAATAGGAGGGATTAACACGAAGTCTGGAGTCAATGCAGTGGTAGTGAGATAAATTCATCTACTGTGCCGGAGGTTAATAATGGATCTCTGAGAAGGGACAGAAATAAAAATTACCTACGTTAGAATGACTTTCAACGAGGCTGGTGGTTCCAGTCTTGAATTGTATTCGGGAATAAGGAACAGTTAAAAGTTGATTTTGTCGGATTGAAGCTCTAAAAAAGTAGTCTTCTGTGGTTAGATTGATAGGGTCTCTTAATCTCAGGCATCAGGTCTTCGTTTTTTATAATTTTAGTCCGAGAGCTTGGTATTTTGTACATATTATTTTTAATCTAGCTATTGTATTTTTTTCTCTAATGCTTTGAGTCATCAGTTTGAGATACTAATCAGTGGGAGTGTCATGCAAGCTTGGTTGATTAGAACTAAATGTGTTTTTATTTTATAGACATTTTATATGAATTTAAATGATCAGCACAAAGCGCCACATTTAAAGTCTGGAAACAACTGATTTTGAAAAAAGGAGCACCTTCATTGAATGGCCATACCTTCATTGTACCCATGTTTGTCTTTTGTTTGCATGCAGTGTATGTGTTTCCATTTCACTCCTGCAATAACTTTATGCTAAGACTCAGTATTTTTTAAATGAGTAAATTACTATTTGTCACATCCACCTGACCGTGCTGAATTCTCGGTCGTCTGCACCACCCTTCCGTTGACTGGACAGTGCTCGTAGAATGACAAAATATGGCGGCCTACAAACCTGCAGTTGCATTCTAACAGCCGTGACCTTGAGTTCTGCGTGCGGTTTCTGCGACCCTCCTTGTGATTTGCCTTGGCAGAGTCCCGGAGGAGAGGATCCTTCCAGGCAGCATGAAGGACAACTTTTGGGAGATGGGGGAGACGGGTCCCTGCGGCCCCTGCTCGGAGATCCACTACGACCGCATCGGCGGGCGCAACGCCAGCCACCTCGTGAATGCAGATGTGCCTGACGTCCTGGAGATCTGGAACCTCGTCTTCATTCAGTACAACAGGTGTGTGGATCTGTTCTGATAAGTTTACTTTGCTCTCAGACAGGTCATTAAGTGCCTATGCGTATGTGGTTTTGAGCAGACAATTGTATGTGCCATGATTAGGATTCCTGATTTTCGAAGATGTTTGGAGGACAGTTGCTGCGGATTATTTCGGTGCCTGAATCTCGGATTTTTTTGGGATTTTTGAAAGTTCATTTAAGGTTTTCTCTTAGCTATATTGTCTGCTTTTTACAATTGATTTTGGAAATTCATTAGATTGATAGCTTAAAATTTGGAAAAATATTATTTTCCTCTTTAGCTCTTTATTGTCATAAACCCAACACCGAGGCATGCAGGCTCCTCACTCAATCTCAATGGCCCCTCGCTAACGCCGAGAGCATGCAAGATGATCTCTTTGCATTGGATGGTTATAGATTGGCCAAAATAATCTTGTGACTTCATTTTATCAGATATGCCAGACAGAAGTGTAAAAGTAGACAAAAGAACCAGAAAATGTCATATAACAAATATCAGTTCCTTTTTTGTAGAGCAAATGTTTGTGGGAAAACTCGAAACCCTGATCGTAACGAACTTCAAAGGGGTGTTGTTTGCTTTCTCAGAGAAACGGATGGTAAGCTGCGACTTCTGCCAAAGCAGCATGTGGACACTGGAATGGGCTTTGAACGACTGGTGTCTGTTATCCAAGACAAGCCATCCAACTATGACACCGATGTTTTCGTGCCCATCTTTGACGCCATTCAGAAGGTACGAAAGTTTATTTTCTTTGTTGCAATGATTTAAGGTGAATCATTGTGCTTAGATCGCCATTCCTGCTCATTTCGATTTGGATGTGCATTGTGCCTGCGTACGATCATGCTGTCACTACCGGAAGATGCATGTTAAAAACCCAGGTTAGCAGTTGTGCTACACTGGCCAAATTGCCCGTCTACAGCGAAGACGGCAGTTGTCTTCCTAAGGCAGACTAGCTTTTCCACTCTAAAAACTGCGTACAACGAACTTTTTTAGAAGGTTGTGAATTTTGTTTGGGTCAGGAATTCGGGCTATTGCTGCTTCATTTAAGGCAACAACTAGCCCTAAAATAACATCTTTAAAGGGACAATGAAGGCAATTTCGGATATTTTTTTGGCGATTGAACTGGGTTCCCGGCACGTCCCAGGCCACGTTGCCCAAATTTCAGCCGAAACCGGCGCTTGTGTGCCGCGCGAATCAATTAAACAGTCACGGTTATAATTGTACCGGGATCGATCGAGGCGACGCCCCGAGCGTTGCGGGAGAAACCAGCAGAAGCGGAGGTCACGTGAGGGGCCTGGAAGCGTGACGTCACGAGAGACGCGTCAGTGGTTGGTCGAAACGAGAAACGTGCTTTCGGTCACGCTTTGGTTCGTGGTTTTTATGAGCACTGTTCTAATTCCACTTGAATAACCATGAAAACTATAAATCGAACCAAAAATGATAACTAAACCGTAAATAAAACACCATAATTCTTTTTTTTTTTGCTACACTGCATGCGAAACGGGCAACGAGCAACTATGGGCAAAGAAAATATATAAAATAAAGAATGCAGCGCGGAACACCGCGCTGCTATAACCCATCGCGGTAACCAGAGTCTCGACGCCCTAAATGCTACCGGTACCGACAATTCACATGTGACGTCACTCCCTACGTCACCTCCGTTTTCGGAGGCCCAAAATTGAGAAACACAGATAGTTCAGTTTCGGTCTTCAGTTCTTTCGTAGGTACAGAAATACGCATCACAAATGTCTATAAAAAATTTGGCAATATGTCAGGTTCCTAAGAAGCCTAAAAACACCATTTAAAAAATTTAATTAAAATTGTCTTCATTGTCCCTTTAAAGTAATATTTGGAATTAGCTTCAGCATTTTTTATCTGAGAACGGTTTAATGGGAGAATTAAGCGGGCAAAATAAATATAGATCTTTCTTTGACAGTATCTCAAACAGAGCTTGGGTTGTTAAGGATGAACACGACCCTAAAATGCCTATTTTTCGGCAAAAAATGTTTTAATCAAATGTTGCAGTTTTGGCGACTATTAATGAGCAATATGGCAAAACTTGGAAACTTCTGTACCGTAATTACCGAGGAAAAGAAACAACATTTTCAATGCCTCCGCAATGCTCTGAGGTGCGGCACACTCGTGAAAGACGCGAGGAAAGCACCATTTTTCCGATTTTCAGTACAGTACAGCGCCGCGCCTGCGAGGCCTAGCGTGGCATTCATACCCTCATTGGAAAGGTTCTTTCTCAGACTTTTTAGTAAAATAGTAAACACGAGTTTAGGGTATGTGCGTACGGGGAGAACCTTGTCGTAAAAACGTCTTCCACGGGAAGAATAATAGGGAATTTGACGGAACTCGTCTTCCTACTGGTTGGAAAACCAAAACTAGAGCCACGATTGGTTTTCAGCCATCACGTGATCTTTCGCGGCGGTCACACTTCAGACCTTGTTTTATCGTCGGATCTGCCACATCTCGCTGTTTCGCTTCAATCTTTCTTACCTTTCTTTGATCCGAAAATGTCGCCAAGTATTGTCGCAATATTGGTCTAAAAAAATTTTTTTTAGCGTAGAATTTATTTTTTGACACGCCTGTGCTGGCACCAGGCTGTTTAAAAAAAAAAGGTTCTCTTTTCAGGGGCCCTTTAGGGTAGCCTAGATTTAAGAAAGTGCAGCTATAAATAAATGAAAAAGGAAAGCAGTGAAGTTTCATTCATTTTTGGCTTCATTTGCATGGCATTGTTTTGTTTGAAATGGAAAAGGAATCAGTGATTCTGAGCACTGCAGAGGGCAGTGTCGGAGGAAGGCTTACCGCAAACTGTGGGGAGTGCAGGCTACCGGAGTGAGGCCCTACCAGGGCAGAGTGGGCAAAGAGGACACCGACGGGATTGACATGGCCTACCGGGTGCTGGCGGACCACTCGCGAACTCTGACCATTGCACTGTCTGATGGAGGACGCCCCGACAACGTTGGCCGTGGGTCAGTGTCTGGTCTTTACCGTACGTCCTGGGCTCGTTGCTTTGTGGCTGTCGCCCATTTTTAGATATGTTAGAAAAGATCTGAATGAGATATACGGTTGCTGACGTATTGAGTGTGTATTTAGTCCAATTTAGATTTTTGCGAACAAAGAGGCCCATTTCACACAAAAGGTTAACGATTTCTGTTTTCAAATTTGCCTTTTTGGGTTGTGCATAGTTTAATGTACTTGGTCTTTCTTAAAGGGATACTGAACCAAAATTTGGATTTTGCAAAAATAAGGCCGCAGAAGTGTTAAAAAGGGATGCTACAAACACTAAAATATCACTCACACATCAATATTTCAAACGGATGGCCATACTTTTGGAAAAGAAGAGCACGATCAAGCGAGGGATATGACCTCATTGTCCTCCTGGAAAATTTGAGAATGAGGGGAAGCGGCCTCGCTTCTCTCCTCCTCGCTTCGGTTCACCAGCTCGATGGGACCTAGCGAGGAGGAAAGGGAATGAGAATCGTGACGTGACTTGTCCTGTCGGCCGTGTTTAGTGGCACACTTCTTTTCCACAAATATGGCGATAAGTCAGAGATATCGCTGTATGAGAGATGTTTTTGGGTTTTGCAGCGTCCCGCCTACCCATCCAGCCTTGTTTTGTGAGCTCGAAATTTCGGTTCAGTATCCCTTTAAGACCAAAGACAGGATTTTTGTCATTTCTCAACTGGGTTATGCAAAGTACTCATATACACTGTAATTTTGTTTGCGAAGCATAGATATACCGTAAAATACCGAACATCTGCCCAGGATTTTACAGTAGACTATTTTACCCTGTCTATTTGAGTTTTAAAAAAAATCATGACTGTAATAAACGTTCCTGCCCACGTTTTTTTTAGGGGCGAAGCTCCTTAGGGTCTAGCCTTGTCCGGCGTCCGTGCTCACATCGATTGCACTGCCTCCGGGATCGGCCTACTTTTAAAAAAAGAATGTACGCCCGCACGGGGGTTCCAACTCAGGACTGCTTGCTTACGAAGCAGTAGGAAAGCTTATTGTGCACGTTGTTCACAAATCTTCATTTTCTAACACCACCTTATTGGTGAGGTATTAAACCTAAAAATGTTCAGGTTGTGTTGTTGCAAAACAATTAAGTTCTAAGAAAACGGGAAAAACTTTGCAAAACATATTTGTTAACAGCCTGGATATGTGCCTTTTTGAGTCAGTGTAACTAGTATAAATAAATGTACACTTTCTGAGTATAATAATTAGAAAATGTGTCATTTGCATTTATAGATAAAAAATTTAAAAATTCTTATATTTTCTTTTGAAGGTTTGGGTCTCTCCCTAATTCTTTTTATGCACCGTATGTACAGTGAAACCCGTTTAGAACAAACCCACATACAGCGAATTATTGTCGGTGTCGAACTCACGAAAAATTTAAATAAAAATGCATGTAAAAAGTACTTTTTATAACGAACAACATATTGGCTATATCAAACTTTTCCCCCCCCGGGAAGGCTTCCAAAAACGCGCAAACAATCGTCTTCTAGCCTGTCCCTCCGCCTCCCCCTCCCAACAACAACAAAAAAAGAAGTGTAAAAGAAAGAAAATTTTAAAAGCTCAAGTTGCAAACAAAATTGAGCGAAGAGAAGTGATTCAGAAAGGGAGATAGGGCTAAAAAATCAAATCTGCACGTATGCAAAAAAAAAAACAAAAAAGCTTTTTAGCGCGTTGTAACAAGGCGGAATTGAAGCGAGGAGATGAGAAAGGAAGAGAAGCTCTCGCCTTACAACGAACGCATCCTGGAAGTTCGTTGTAAATGGTTTTTGCTATATTGAATTACTTGCTATATCGAACTGATCGTAGTGTTTCCTGTTGTTCGTTATAAACGAGTTTGACTGTAATAGCCTCATATAAGCACTGTTTACAAAAAAAGCTTGTGCATCTAATTTCCCGCAGAACATACAGCGAGCAAATCGCTGTGGCCAACGGTTTTACAGGGAACTGAATTACCATAAAATATTAAGGGAGCACCCACCCCACTTTCAATGAAAAAAGGATTCGTCTAGACATGGGTGCTTGTCCGGTCAAAACAGGAGCTTAACGTATGATTTGCAGAATTCCCGAATTTGGAACACACTAATAGTGGGCACTTGATCGAAGTGGGCACTTCCGCGGTATTTTATGGTATGTCTTTCAAAGTTATGGGGTTGTGTAGAAGATTTGAGGGGGTAACATTTGGAAGGATGCTCGGTGGTCTTTGCGAACTCTTGAATTTGATATTTACATTGGCATGTGTGGACACACCTGTCTGACGAAGCATTTTGGTGTTGTTTTGCATTATGTTGTTCCTTTTTGCACTGCCAAAGGTACGTCCTAAGGAGGATCCTACGTCGGGCTGTCCGCTACGCCACTGAGAAGATGAATGCAGCCCCCGGCACCTTTGCAAGCCTTGTCCCTGTGGTTGTCCAGATCCTGGTATGTTTATGAGGCCGTCTGAAATTGGCTCGGGACTAACTGGGAAACTTCTCCGTCTTTCAGGGCGACGTCTTTCCGGAGTTGAAGAAGGACACAGAATCTGTGAGTTTGACCTTTGGCTGCGTTGTCTTCTCGAATCAAGCAGTTTCAAATCCTACTGTGCATGCAACTGTAATAAGAGATACTTGCTAGAGCATCACCTCCTTCGAGGTATTGGACAAAATACTGCAGATGCTTGTTTGGTGCGCACTGATGCGCCATCCGGTGAGCCATATTAGTTGTCACCCTTCCTCTGGTGCTGAGCTACTTTTCAGCTTCAGCAGCATTATTTTAGGGGAGGGGTGCTCTCAAGTGGGTGAAAGTAAACATATTTTCGTCTTCATTTTCCTGCATATATTAGAGTGTGAAAAGCAAACTTTGATGAGCATTCTTTTTGTTTGCTTCTAGTGGTAATGGGTGCATGTCGCTTCCAATGTGAACTACCGTTGTGGTGCTTGTTTTGTCGCTTCGCCAATGCATGTGGATGCGGTGGCATAAGGACATGTTCTTTGCTTCAGGTGATGGACATCATCAACGAAGAAGAAGGACAGTTCCTCAAGACGCTTTCTCGAGGAAGACGTCTCCTGGAGAAGACTGTCAACAAGCTTGGAGACCAGAAGTTTCTCCCAGGTGAGGTTGCTTTAGTCGTTTCTTCCTCGAATAATGCTTTTTCGTAACTGAAATGTTACGGCTTTGTGAGCACTATTTAGTTATATGGGTTCTGCTTTTTTGGTTGAAGCCTGTAAAGGTATGGTTACAAAATCAAAGCAGAGTTTTAACTCCATGCGCCTGCTTAGAGACATAAAAATGACACAATTCTGTGTTCCTTGGTATACAAAGAAACTAAATTTGTATAATGTCTACTAAGTCACCGAGGAAAGAAAAATATTTTAGAATCAAACGACTCGTGAAAGACAGCCGATTTAAGGAGAAACAGAAATCTAACTTTGAGGTTTATTTAAAATTAGCAATTTGTGCTTTTGGTCTTATCCATGAACTGCCATAGAAACAAAGAACAGATTTTTTAAAATTTTCTTTGTCAATTCATTTTAACTCTGTCGTCCATGGGAAAAGTAGAAATTTTCAAAGGATCCGTGCGAACGCTTTTATTTTTTGAACTAAGTTGCATATGGAGCAATATGACACATCAAAAGGTGGCCAATTAGTCGTTATTTCAAAAGAAAGGTTAATATAATGTGAAAAAAAGATTTTAAAATTTTATTTTTTGAAAATACAATTTACTATGTGCGGTAGGCGTATAAACACCGAAACTTCTAGAGTTATGTCAAATTGAACAACAAATAACTGAAAATTTAGAATATACAAAATGTGCCCACACCCAAGTGAAAGTTATTGTACTGTGACTGATGTTGTCTATTTTTGGTTTGTCGGAGAGTTAGCCTCCGTAACACATGCGCTTTTCAACGAAGTAATGCTTATAATGGTGAAACACAGATAGTACACCTCACATCCCTGGCAGAATGCTTTCATTGTGTTCTGCCTTGGTTTTGTCACAGCTTGATTGCAGTTCCTTCATATTTAGCATTTTTGTTTGCCTTGCTGGGAACAAAAAACATGTTCGCAGGCTCAGGACAGCATTGGAAATTATAGTGACGCTTACCGACAACCATCTGTTAAGCAACGCCTATAGCATCATTTAAAGTGTCCCCAGAGCTCTTGAGGTCTAAAAAATATGCCACAATGCAGTTGAATTATGTAAATAATGTCATGTTTGTTACAAAGGCTGATGCAAGTAGTTAGCTATATTATATGAGTGCAGCTACCGTTCCCAGGACTATTTTTTGACAGCCCACCAGCTTGTGAATAAGCTCAAACCTGTGTTGCAATTGGAACTACAATCTTTGGCTATCCACGAGATCGTGGAACATAATTCTCCGAACTAAATTTAATTTCGTGACTGCACTTGGAAACCGTCAATCACTGGTGATCGATCAATGGCTTATGGGCGCAGTCAGAAAAGAGTTAAGACTTAGAAAGGAGGCCATATGTGCTAGCAGTTGTTGGGGAACCTTCATGTGGGCCTCCAATCCTCCTCGATAACCTACAGTGAATGGTACGATTTCGACCTTTTTGTACTGTTGTACCGTCAGCAGAAAAATATGGTCCTTAGCACAAAACCTGCTGTTGAACTGGCCGCATAGAAATGAAAGTCTAGTTGGCTAATCCAAGCCAATTGCTATCATTATCGCTCGGCTAGATGAGCTGAGGTGAGGAGCCTGCTTTAAGACTGGCTCCAAACCTATTCTGAACTCTGACCTCTATGAAATCACAGCGCCACCGTTTCTGCCGCACAGCTACCGCCGACTCGGCCACTGGCTAGTCAGAGCTCAGTGAGGGTAACACAGTAATCTGATTCAGCTGAGCTGTGCTTGTTTTCTGTTTTTGTAGTAAAGCTCTACACTAGGTATAGGCACTATCCATGCCTTTGACTTTCGTGGTCTTTGTTTACCTTGTCAGCTGCGGTGGTAAACAAGGCAGGCACATTCGCCTGGCAAGGTATCTCTAGGCTGGGTATTGTCAGAGGAGGATATCAGCTACCGCAAAACTGAAGCAAAGAAAGTCTTGCACTGCCCCCCGCGATAATGCAGACTCTCCAAATTCTGCGTTGCAGTACTTGACAGGCCCTCTGGCATTTGCGGACTGCCTCCTTTATGTGAATTGGCTACATTGAAAGTGTTGGTTCGTGTAGGGGACGTGGCGTGGAGGCTGTACGACACTTATGGATTCCCTATCGACCTGACCCAACTCATGGTAGAAGAGAAAGGGCTCGCTGTGGACATGGAGTCTTACGAGAAGGCCAAGGCAGCCGCTCAGGTAAGGCTACCTTGGAGGCAGCATACTCTTGATTCTTAAATACAGCTTGTCATTGGGCAAGGTAAACATTCAAAGCTAATTGATCCTTTTGAACATGGCATATTGATCTTTTCACTGGCATTCACTCACATATTGTTAGCAATCCCCTTCTACCAATCGGCTACTCGAGGATGCATCTATTAGGCATGCAACAGTGCCTGGGCATTAGAGTTTGCACATGGCCTGGCTCAAATTGCATAACTTAAGCTTTTTTTTTTTTAGCTTTTATTTTTACTTTGTTTGACCAGCTTCAAGAGTTTCAAGAAATGCTCCTCTCGTGAAATGCTCAGTGGATAATCCTGGAAGGGGCTTGGTTTTTAGCTGGCCTCTCAAGCTGGTGACAGCAAGGTGGACGATGGCCTGAAGCTGGACGTGCACGCTATTGCGGACCTCCAGAGCAAGAATGTGCCTACAACGAACGATCTCCCCAAGTATGATTACCGTGCAACGTCAAACGACAAAGCTGCCAGCTACGGTAAGTAGTAGCCCTTTTGCGTATGCAATATTGTGGTTCTTTTGCCCTGTGTAGATGCTTCCAGCTTTTTGATGTAGGCTCTTCTTTACTTGCCCGAGTCACCACGGTCGGCAACCGAATTTGTGGACTCCACTGGAATATAGGCATTCGAAAAATTGATTGATGCTTTGCTGCATGCTCCTTTGCTTCCACACGATCTCAATGGCCTGTATTCCGGTGAAGCTCATTCCATCACCATAGACTGACGAAAGTACTGCCAGTAGTTGCATCATTTCCACATTTGACGACTGCGCAGTGGACAGTACATCATCCTTAAACTTGCTGTGAGGACCGAAAACTGTGTTTTGTGGGTGCCTTCGTTGGCACTAGCTGCAAAGATACATTTGGCACCATTTGGGAACCACACTCACCAACCAAGATCACATTACAGTAAAACCTTGTTATAACAAAGTTGAAGGAGCGGTCGTAATTATTTCGTTATAACCATTAGTTTGTTATAGCCAATGTCCATTTCTTCCCCCTTTTAGCAAGCAAGGGGAATTATGATTGCTTTGTTATATCCATTAGTTTGTTATATCCCATTTTGTTATAACGAGGTTTTACTGTATTATGTGACATGTTAACAGAAAGCACTCATGCTCAAAAAGCACAAAAATAAAGGTGGCTAATGGGAACCAGACTAGGTGGTGTTCACTGGATGACTGGACAGACTGAACTACAGTCGCCCACAGATTTTTCGGCCGCCAAAATTTCCGACATGCTTGATTATTCTGACATTTTTGCGGAACCGCCATTTGCCTCATAGAGTTGGTGAATAATATTGACTGAAATTATGGACAATGTGTCTCACATTGATCGATTTTTCGGACTTTGCGGTCGCAGTACTGCCTGTTCTGCGAACTGTGTTGCTGCCGTTGCTATTTTGCCTGTAGCCTCGACACCACATTCTGCGTACATTCTGTTTGATACAGAAGCTGATTTAAGGCTTTAATCAGAATCTTGGCCTCTTTTTCGTGCCACTGAGGTTAAATTGTGCTTTTGTTTCATGTCGTTCACGGAGCAATTGTGGTCATTTAAATGTGCGGGATCCGCTACGTCGTCCGCCACCGTACTTCTGTGTGTGCCTTCTGCCGTCGCCCTCAATCAGCGTCAAATGGCGCCAACTGCATCTTGAACATAACTGTCTGCGTGAATGGTATCAACGACCCTTTGCCCCAACGAGGTTGCTTCACTTTTGTTTTGTGCTGTCTTTCTGTGATGTTTGTCGAATCCAGAGAGGGATCTTGTCGTTTAAACGTCCAGGAGAACCTCTATGCTCTCTTCTGCCGTTATTTGTTTCTAGTTTCGTTGACTGACAACTTGATTGTTGTTTCATCATGCTTTGCTTACGGGGGAACTGAATTAACACTGTCGTGACAAGTTCATGGATGTGTACAGTGTGTCCGTGCCAACCATTCAATTCGAAATGCCGAAATACAAAATGATCTGATCGTGCGGAGGCAGAAAACATGTCCAGCAGACTATCGACCAGTTTCTCCAGCAATTTAGTACTTGATGTAAAGTGCCAATACAAAGATTTTCTAGCTGAATTAGGTTTTTGGGGCTGCTCGATTATTCTGACTTCTGCGCAATCCCCAACTATATCAGAACTGGAATGTACAGTCTGGCAATACCCTCGATCCAGCGTGTGTAGTGGATATGATATTGAGGCTGCAAGTCAAAACCAAAATAGCCACCCAGCAATGAGTTGTATGATGTCAAAAATTTTGCTGTTACACATAGTAATCTCTGTGGGGTGAGTGACGGTTCCCTGGAGGTGTCTAATCGAACATGTTCATAAAATCTGTTTACAAACATTCACTTTGCTCACATTTTAATTGCAGCAAAATAAAGTTTAATCAGAAATTACTTACCTGTTGCAAGGGGCTACGCATCGAAAGACATCGGTTGACAATTTCTAATAGAGATACTCTTCGCATGATCGACATTGGTTGTGTTTTGTTTTTATTAATGGCCCTTCGCTTCTTTTCAGAATTCTCTCCATGTTCAGGCACTGTGCTTGTACTACGGACATCAAAGCAGTTTGTGGATTCTATCGAGGCGGGACAGCAGTGCGGTGTCATTTTGAACCAGACTAATTTTTATGCCGAGTCCGGAGGTCAAACCTACGACACCGGCTTCATGACATGCGAAACCAACGAGGTAAATGATTGACTATAGTAGTTGCGATTGCATAAAATGAGCTTACATCAACATGGTACTCATAAAAGTTGTTTTACTCTGTATGAAAATGGTGAAAACGTTTTTTTGTTTGTTCTCAGGATTTGGAGTTTGCCGTCACTGAAGTGCACACCCAAGGAGGCTATGTCGTGCACATCGGAAGACTAATCAGTGGCACACTCAGAGTGGGCGACAAACTCAAGCTCGCCATCGATGAGGTTGGTTGTTGTAAAAGCGGGGGCCTCTATTTTGGCTAGTAAGGATCACATGATAGGATGTGGCAAAGTTCATTTAGAAGCAGTACTGCTGTGCAGCATTACTGATGTGTCCACATGTCTGACACAGTTGATGGTCCATGGTTAGGCCTTAGCTGTAAACTACTTATGGTATTATCGCGAGAGATGGCCCACCTAAAAATCAAGACGAAATTGATTGAAAATAAGGAGTGGGCCAACTGTCAGTATGCAACCAAAAACAGTTAATAAAATTATTGTTGCTAGGTTAGAAATGTAAAGTCTTGTGAAGAATGTAAATTGGACCATTTACTGATTGTCGAAACTTTTTAATGAACAGTTGCTGTTGAACAATGTGAAATTTGGGTTAGTCTTTGACCAATGTTTCGGACTCCAAAATTTCTGACGTGCTCAATTATTTCAACAACTCTGCGGAACCGTCACTCGCCCCATAGAGTAGCGACTGTAATGTTGGATTCCATTCAGTTCTCTGACTTGGTTTACGTGCTGCACGGTTTGCACCTACCAAATCACCGCCATGATGCAAATAGCGCTAAGACAAGGACAGATGAAGAAGTGGACAGGACAGGCGCTAAACACGCCTGTCCTGTCCACTTCTTCATCTGTCCTTGTTTTAGCGTTATTTGTATTTTAGTATGTATAACCAACTAGCCCGCCAGAATATTTTGAATCACCGCCATCAACTGAGTCGCTGCCATTTTGATTCTGGCTCATGTCCTCATTATCTTGTCCTACACTATTGAGAAACTGGATAGTCTATGGTTGGATGTTTTGTTTCTGCTCTAGTCACCATAATCCCATCTGCCGCCATGCCAACCACAGCATGGCCACGATTCCTTTTATGTTCTTTGAATGCTAGTACTTTCTGTTGATAGACCTAGTAGTGAAGCAATCTTGGTCGACTGAATGTAATCTCTAAGCAGTGTCAAGTGGTACCAACTATATCTTCGCTGTGTGCATCAACGAGGGTGCCAACAAATCAGGCACATTCAGCGAGATAACAGTGGTTAAAAAGCTGTGGTCATCAAACAAATCAAACAGGTATAAAGTGGCCAGCACCAAGTGGAAATTGCAGACCTGTAGTTACAGGTGGAGATGACTACTAATCAAAGATGACCATCATTTCGAGCCAGCGTTGTTTGCTTATCTCCCATCATAGCAAGGTCACTTGGGCAGTGAGATTTCTAGGGGTGGGCTGTCTTTCAGTGTTCTTGCATGAATAGAAAATCATGCCAAAAACCAGGGTGGTCTATATTTTGGGGACGGGTGCATCTCTTGGGATGTTACGGTGCATTTTGCTGTCATTTATTTTTTGTTTGGAGCAGATAATTGTGGAAAATTCTTAATTTGAATTTATTTGGATGGGGTTTCCTGGACCAGTTCTCCCCCAGCTGAACGGGTTTCACCCTATTGCACATAAGTGACATAACTGAAAAACAGTTGTAAGCAGAAGGTGCAGCCTTGGCATGGGCTTTAATGGCAATATGTATGGGTAACATGGTACAGAAGTAAAGTTGAAACCTGGCGTTCAATTCTTAACAGCAACGTCGCAAGCTGGTCATGAACAACCACACTGGCACGCACATTCTGAACTTCGCACTGAGGAAAGTGCTGACTGCCGAGGCTGACCAGAGGGGATCGCTGGTTGCACCTGACCGCCTGAGATTTGACTTTGCTAACAAGGTAAGGCAGCCAGATATTGCATAATCTTTTGCTTTTAGGGGTAGTAGGATGGCTCAGATTTGCCTATTTTTTTTTATACAAATCAGTCTTAATTGGAGTGCACATTAAAACCACTCTAGGCAAATATCCGTCTTCTTTATACATACATATTCTAGAATCAAACGCCTTTGTAATGAATTCTGTTGTACTGGCAAAAAGTTTGTTGTAGAAGCCTCTAAGTTGGGGTCAGAGTTGAGCGCGATAATCAAACACCCGAAACTGAATGTGAGCCATCATGTAGTGGCAAACCTGTGTGACATAGAGTCTATTTCTGTGCAGTTCTATTGGTTTCACTTGGATTATGGAGTCACAGGAAGGAAGTTATGACCCAGTTAAGAACATGCTTGTCATAAACCGCGTAGATCTAGGGCCAGGTGGAAGTGGGCGTTTCGAGCTTGCTCCAACCAAGACTCGGAAAGAATCTTGGTTTGATCTTGGCAAAGATTAGCGTAATCATTAAGCAGCTGCCCGCTAAAAAAATAGTCTAGAAAAAAAAAAAATTGTTTTCATGAGGGTTTTGGTGTTTGGAGACCACCGACATATGTGCAGACACAGACGGAATGCTGGAGAAAAGAGGAGGAAACCTCCTCTTTTCTTCAGCATTTAGTCTGCTTCCTCCTCCCCATCCTTCCTTTCCCTCGAAAACTTTTCTTAACCTGTAACCGGCTATAGCAATCAGTGGGCCCGTAGTCACCAGACTGCCGACCACTGTACGCTGCCTGTTACATAAGCTCACCACTGATTGGCAATAGACTAGAATAACAGGATGATGCAACCGCAAGCCTTTCAACTTGCGTAGCCTTGAACACTCACTTATCTTTCACAACAAGGTGACTGCGAGCGCATCACTGAAACACAAGGACATTCAATGAACTAGTCCACTCTCACTTTTAATAATAATGGTACCACTCAATCTCTTGTTCTTACTCTGAGCAAAAAAAAGAAAGAATTTCTCAGCGTGTGACTAAGGAATGGCAGATGTATTTCTCTCACGACCCCCTCACCAGGCCACGAAACTCGTACTGGAGCGACATAAACAAATTAGGAGCATCCTTCAAGATGGCGTCCGCTGCCCAGTTTACCCGGCTATATCTAGCTTTTTTCACTGTTTTCTGACTTTTCTAAAGGGGTTTATATTCGGGGTGTTTCACTGGACGCCAGCCACAATTTTCTTATGAAAACTATCCATTTCACACAAAAAAGAGTGGTGCTGTATTAATCACTGTCAGGGGTCCAATTTATGCATGGTGTCAACATTTTTATGCTACGTCCTCGAGGCTAGCATCGTTTCGACAGTACTGCAGTTCGTACTGCTGCGAGAGCACGTGACTTTGTCTTGCGTCTCATTCGCACTTTGCTCTCGTACAAAGGAGATATCAAAGGAAGCACTTTGCTTGCGCAAGTTTCGTTTGGTAGCATTGGTGTGCTGCGGAAACTACCAAGCGCTGTGGAAGCTACAAAACCACAAAAATGTTGGTGTTGAGTACACTAGTGAGATTAATAGCATTTTTGATAATTATGTTTCTAATTACTTTTGCATAATTAAGTTTTAAATAGTCAATAGCTTTTAGGAACTTGCTGGGGCCGCAGGCTCTAGCAATTTTAGGAAGAAGATGAGGTGCTGACATAGTAGTGCATAAAAGTCTCGCATAGTGGCAGTCGCGTCGAGTTTGAGGTAGAAGAGTAGAGTGGACAAACTTTCTTTCATCCTAGCCTCGAAGTAACTGTCACTGTGTTTTAACTCTCATCAGCTTACGTTTGTGTATCATTATGCGCTAGTTGTACCACCTAAGTTTCTTTACTTAAAGAGTTTGGTTTTGATTTCTAGAATGATTTTGTTTGGTGCCCGCACAGAAACCCATGTCTCCTGCTGAGGTGAAAGCTGCAGAGCAGAGTGCAGTTGAGCTCATCTCCAAAAACGGAGAGGTCTACGCCAAGGACTCGCCCCTGTCCATTGCCAAGGCCATCCAAGGACTCCGTGCTGTCTTCAACGAGGTGGGCATATTTTGTCTGGACCCAGTGCAAAAGGCCTTTCTGGCCGAGTTACCCTCACTCTTGCGCGATGTTATAGAATGTTCCCATTTACCACAATTGGCCATTGAAAGAATGCAGGGGAGCAGACTGAGAAACATACTTTATGCCCTGGCTCGGAGTTTTTATATGTCACCGATTGAAGTTTTCAAGGGAAGGAAAGTCAGGCACTGAACGTGACACGCAGCGAAGCAATCGCTGCGTCAGGTTTGCTCATTGACTCTGGCAGGTGTATTAACGACTGTGCAGACGTATCCAGACCCGGTACGAGTTGTGTCGATTGGGGTCCCAGTCGACGATCTTATGGCAGACCCTTCAAGCCCTGCAGGATCCTTGACCTCCATTGAATTCTGTGGTGGAACGTGAGACTCATTTTTTCATTATCAATATTACTATTGTCCCCTTTTAGGCTGTTATAATTCTACGCAATTTTATTGCGATGCTATCCATTGCTAATGCTTGAACTGTACACTGTTACCAATCCCTATACTGGGGTTCACATTGATAGTTTTAACTCATAAACAAGCATGCTGTTGCAACAGGGCTCGGGGGTGGAAGTGCAATTACCCAGTGATTATCTCCTTATGCCAGTAGAAAATAGAACTCATTTACGAGAATGTTGCTTTCAAGAAGTATTTTTGGTTGTCGGTTTCATACCTCGTTTGTCGTAGAGAAAGTATGCTGTCAATGAAATAACAATTGTAAGCCAATCCAAGCATACACTAGTTACTCTTCTTGGTCAGTTTTTTTGTATCATTGAAGTCGCATTAATAGTTTTCAAAAACTATTTGTGGATAGTTTTTTTGTTTTTTTTTGTGAATCATTGTGCAGTTATATTTTATTGTGCTTTCCATACTTACTCCAGCTTACACTAATGCTGTAATGGATGGTTGTAAAAAGCTTCATTTTTAAAAATTTACTTTGACTGTGAGAACCGTAGACTTGTCTCATTGCTTCAATTGGTCCAATTTGCAAGACCAGGAGGATACTTGAGAGCATAGGCAAATGGGAGGTTGTTGCTTATGCCCATGTGTGCAAAGTGATGCGTGCCTAATGTTCACGGACAATTTGAATGCAGCCACTTGAAGCGTGCCGGGCATGTGGGTGACTTTGTGATCACTACTGAGGAAGCCATTGCCAAGGGAATACGGAGAATCGTGGCCCTCACAGGTCCAGAAGCTGCAAAGGTAGCTGCTTTTTTAATTTGATAGAATTCTTTTGCTACTTCAACCATTTTTTGCGATACGCTTTCTGGCCTCCAATGCGCTGTGTATGCGCCACAAGTATGCGCAGGCGCCACATGGCAGCGCGGCACCTCTGCAAACGCATGACGTCTCCATACACACGACGTCCGCACACACAGGCGCCGCACGTATGCAGACGTCGTCTTAGAGGTTGTCCTGGAGATCATCTTTGAGGTCGTTCGAGAGGTCGCCCTAGAGGTCATTCTAGACGTCATCCTCTAAAACGCTGTCCTAGAGGTTGCCTTTCAGATCGCCCCAGAGGTCGCCCTCTAGGACGTTGTCCTAGACAGTGTCCTTGAGGTCGTCCCACAGGTCGTCCTAGAAGTCATCTTTGACCTCATCCTAGCAAGCAGATGAACCCGTGCCGCACATACACGGAGCAGCAGTACACACACACATTTGCACCCAAGCTACAAAGCAATTGTGGGTTTGAGTTGAACCAGTTGGTACATGATCATTAATGGTGGTGAAACAGCTTGAACATTAAACTGTTACAGGGAGACAGGACAAGACACGCACACGAAGCTGCAATGATGGTGGGGAACAGCTTGATCATTAAATGATTACACTGAGACAGAAGATTAAACAATTACACAAAGACGAAGCAATCACTCCATTTTGAAGTGGTACACTGCAGTCGTGCTGACATCAATGATTGTGTCGTAAACCAGTCATAAAATAAAATAAAGTGTTTACTCAAAATTTGCGTCGTCATATTCACAGTGAGCTGCGTCGCGAGTCTAATGACGAATGCTATCACAATTCACAGACAACCATAAACAGTTGTTTTCTTTGCCTGTTTAGCGGTGCAATTTGTTCCCTGCACTTTTATGATTATGACTATGTTCATTGGTCTGCATAGTTCTTACTATATCATGCAGCCACTTGTGTTTGTCACGTTAGGCGCTCAAGAAAGCTGAACACTACCAGAATGAGGTGAACCGGATCAAGGCAGAGGGAGCAAAGGTGACCCAAGCAGCTCAGGGCAAAGAGCTGGTGAAGCAACTGGTTGAACTTACTGAGGTGAGGAACTTCAATTTAACTCTGAGGTGCCAGCTCTGTCTGAAATGTGCTCCTCCAGAACACTACATAGTGATGTTCCTTGCCAGAGAATATAAGCATTGTTCATACCTCATTATAGTGTGAAAGCAATGAGACCAGTCCAGTCTTGAGGTTGTTAACTCTATAGTGAAGAAACAAACTGGATCAGATCATACAAGTTAATAAAGTAGCGTAAGGTATTAGCCATTCATCACCACTAGGACAAGAACCCAAGTTTTTTTCCCTTAAATATGCATCAATTCCGCTCGAGCAATAGACCATTTGCAATATTCCCAAGCGCCTCGGCCTGCACTCGAGGAGTCATGGGAACGGTGTTCCTTCAACTCCTTAGTGATCGCTAATTTCGACATATTCCATGGTTACACAGCTTTCGAACGTAATTCGGAGTCACCCTGAACAAGCGCCTGATATAATATACCCCAAGGGCCTGTCATATCACTTTTAAAATTTCTTTTCACTGTCAGCATTTTTGATACTGTGTATGCGATCCATCTTTCAACCTGGCTGAGCTCCAGAAATCTCTTAGAATATTATCACTCTCGTGATTGTTGTTTTAACATGAATTGTTTAAAAAGCCGAGAATTTACAACAAAAACCAGGATTTAGCTCGGAGTCCACGGGGCTGTTTATAGCATTTTTAGCGTTTCTAACTTAATATCAGCGTCTTTGAAGCTGTACAAGAATGATAATAATGCAAGAGATTTCTGCAGCCCATCCAGGTTGAAGGGTGGACATCATGCACAGTATCAAAAACGCTGACATTGAGGAGAAATTTTAAAAGTGATATGACGGGTCATTGGGGTATATCAGGCACTTGTTCAGGGTGACTCCGAATTGTGCTCAAAAGCTGTGTAACCAAGGGTAGGGTCAAAATTACCAATCACTAAGGAGCTGAAGGAACACCGTTCCCATGATTCTTTTAGCGCGGGCCGGGATGCTTGGGGGATATAGCAAATGGTCTATTGCTTCTCCACCTCCATCCTCGCAGTCATCTCATGATTGTGGATGGCGCTCACTCAGTATGGTGCTGTGCCGACTGAATTAAAGGCACTGTGATGACCCTATGGTTCGCTTGTTTACTTGATCTTGCAGGAGATATCACAGTCCAACATCTCTTACTGGAAGAAAGATGAGCTGAGAACAGAGCTGAAAAACCTCAAGAAGCAGTTGGACGACTTGGACAGGAGCAACAAAGCTCAAGCACAGCAAATGGTAAGACAAGTTTACTGCAAAAAAAATTTATTTCTCACTATAACCTTTGTTGCCAAGTACAGTCTATGAGTGAATTTGCATAGAGTTCCGTTATTGTTTTGTGCGGACAGGTCCCAGTACACCGAAGTGCCTCGCTAGTCTTTGGCAGCAATGCGTGCCAATTGTCAAAATACATGGAGGTTACATTTTTATAATCCACTGGGGTCCTGGTTTTCTAAAGCTGGTCCACACGTTTGCATTCGAGTGTGACCAACTGCATTTCAACGGCTTTGTTGTATTTCCTAATGTTTTAAGCATCATTCTTTTACTGTGAGCTTGAAATTATTCTGGCATTGTTATAAGCGATCATTTCTCACGGATGGTGCATAGATTTGATCTTGCAGTCCAGTCATATGCAGATGGGAAGTGTTCCAAACCTACCTGGTAGATGGCACCAGTGTTTTTTTTTTTCTCGTTGTAAGCAGTCGCATGCGGTGGCAGTGCACTCAGTCGCGCAAATGTGTGAACCAAGCTTGAGTGTAATAGACGAGGTTGAAAGATAAAAAGCAGCCACTAACACAAACATAACTGACCGTGGCTCTTTGCTGCTTCACAGTGGCAGCAGTTTACCTGCCTGGCTCGTGCACATGTTTCTTGGAACTAAACAGGCTAACTTTACTGACTATGATGAGAGTGTCTATAGTGGGCCAGGATTGTAAGCAACTCTGCCCAAATTGTTGAGGCTTGTTTTCAACCCTACATTGGGGCACCTTTCCTCTTCTTTTGCAGGCAATCGAAAATGTGAAGAAACTTTTGGAGCAGAAGAAGGATTCCGAATACATTGTGCACGCTCTTGAGGTTGGAGACAATGCCAAGGTGGGTCGGTCCCGCCGGGTGAGACGACTGGATGCAGCTGTGCAATGATGCTCTCAAAAAATGCTGTCTCATGTCGGTGTTGCGATGCTTGTTTTATAGGCCCTGGACGCAGCCTTGAAGCAAGTGCGCACTATCACACCAAACGCTGCCGCCATGTTCTTCAGCTGTGATGCAGAGAAAGGGAAAGTCATCTGTCTGAGTTCTGTGCCCAAGGTTAGTCTTTATTGATTGTGTCACGAGGAATCTGTAGTTGGACGGTACAAGTGCAAGTACAAAGGGAAGATTGACATGCACATGTAACTCTTTTCAAGGAGAGAGCGGTTTGTTAAAGTGGTATGTGTGTTTGGTTTCAATGTTTTACACCAACAGACTTCTCAGCTTCTGTAATAGAGTTTGAAGGTGGGCTGTCGGTGCATATTGGTAACGGAAGAGAACGGCACTGCGTTTGTGTCTTTTGTCTACTTGTCCTTCTGTCTTTTTTTGCACTGTTTTCTTCTGTTACCATTCCTTGCCTCTGCTTTGGTCTGTGTGCATATATTGCATTTGGAAATATTGGTGAGGTTTTCTAATAGAGGTAACTACTGTTTTCACTGTTCATATTATTTGAAGCTGAAAAGCTTGAGATTTTCATAGCTTTTGCTCAGTAACAGCAACTTATGTTTGTCCATTTCAAGGATCATCAGTTGACCTTTCAGTTTTTTGCAATTTTTTTTTTAATGCATATCGGGACAGGAAATTAGAGGCTTGTCTTGGCTGGTGCTATGATAATGGCTGCTGATAGGAGGCTGTAGACAATAATTAATTTCTTTCCGGAATTGCAAACAATGCACTATAATAACTTTGGTGTTACTGCTAGTCATCATTTCGTGGCTCGCATTGGTTTAAATAGCTTGCTTTTTTAGAAGCAACGACAAAGGCAGTGATGCACTAACCCCTTCATTCTCTCAACCTTTTTTAACTATTTCATGTTCCTAGCCATTCCCGACTCACTGGAATAATTCCTTGGGTTTATGATGCAAAGGGTTTGCCGCCAACACGGCCTCTTTTTATTTGCGTCACATAAATGAATAGTACCGAATGCAAACAGTTGGTTCGGTAGGCATTGTCCACTCACAGCTGCAGAAACATGGGTATGCAACTGTGAAAGGGGAAACAATACTCCTAAAATCATGCATACCTACAGTAAGAAACAGCTGCGGTGTAGGCATATTCTATTCATATTTAGGGTGCTGCATTGTTTCATTGATGGCTTATGTGCTGAAAGAATGCTTTTTTTATTATTGTTTTGAATTTGTCATATCTTATTTGCCTCCCCTTATGTAAAGCCCAATGGGGAGGCTATAAGGGTATAACAAATTCAGTTAAGTGAAGGGAGCGTACTCGGACACATCAAGAAGTGTCTTGTAGGGCCTGCGATGTTGCCTCTCCTTAGGACATCGTCGCACGAGGTCTCACTGCCAACGGATGGATCAAGGAAGTGTCGGAGGTGATTGGAGGCAAGGGTGGAGGCAGGGAGGAATCTGCTCAGGCCATTGGGAACAATGTAAGCTCTCTGGACAAGGCATTGGAAGTGGCACACAACTTTGCCAAGCTCAAGCTCACCTGCTGAAGGCGGCGCTGCTCCTTGTACTGGGGTTTCCTTGGAGCTTCAATAATTTTATATTTGAGTTTTCGTAATAAACGCTGGGTTATGCTTGTTTGCGTTTACATTGAAGTTCAATTAATTGAATTGCCAGGAAGCCAAGAAATTGGAGGGGGGGGTTGACTCACCTTGATGTGAGGCACTTTTTCGTCAGACCACCGTTACTTTGATTGTGTCCACTCCTTGCAATGGGTGGAAATTTGGGCACATCTGTAGCGCTTCTTGCCTCTTCACAAGACTGCACAACACCAGTGCTGAATTAGTCTAAAGCTCGCCTTCGTGCCTCGTTTCTCTTACCTTGGAATGGGAGATGGATTTTGCAGGGATTTGAACTCCCAAGCATTGCTTCTGTAAACCATGCCCCTAGCAATTGCAAAAGCGTTGGATTAGAGCGATTCGTTTTCGGTGATATTATTTTAGGGACACACGGTGTAGAAGCTGTGTTTCTGTAGTTTATAACTTATCATTCCTAACTGGGTAGAGTTTGTTTTAGTGGCTCCTTTTTGCAGGCTCCAGTATCGGGCTGAGCAGATCCGAGCTTTACCAACTTGCCTGCATTTTTCACCACTTTGTGTGTTCATGTTTCCAGACTATGCAGCATTGATTCACCATTTGGCCTTAGATGGTTAAAGCGGTCAGAATGCTTACAGAGAATTTCAAACACATATACAAGGTATAGTGATCCTGTGCCATGCAGAACATCCTAAGTCCAGGAAAACAGAAAATAGACAAAACAGACACTGAATCCTTTATGTTTGCTTTGTCTTGGATTTTTTCATGTTGGATCCTTAGTTTGGTCTCACCTAAATTTGCCCTAAACTCCTAAACGAAGTATATTGAAGCTTACAAATTTTATTTCGAGTGTTGGAAAAGAAGTTCAAGAAGTCTACAAGAAATGCTAAGGGATAATAAATCAAAAACGGAAAAATAGCATTATTCCCTCAAAACCTGGCGCAATATGGCCTCAGTAGCTTTTCTGCCATGAAACCCATAATCATCATCATCATCATTCACTCAAAACCTTCCTATGCAGGAAAGTCCTTATGCCTAGAGCACTCATCTATATGCAGCAATGTTCTCATCTTGCAAAGTATAATAATTTGTGTTTGCAGGTTGTTGCCTTGTGTGATTAGCATGCCATCTTAAAGGCGGACGACCAAACACGATATTCTGCAAGGCTTTCCTCCTTTCACATCTTCAAGCCATAGAAGGAAAGGAGCGAAAGTCGGGCATGAGTGCGCGCGTGCCGTTCAGATGGTGGGGTGGTTCATTGTGCAAGCACAACGGAGACAAGTCTGCAAAAATGGTGCCCCTCCAATGGACACGGCGATCTGTGCGACGGAGGATGGGTCCGAATCGAATTCGAAGCGAATAGTGATTTTGGTCGAATAATTTCGAATCGAATAGTTCGAATAGTACTAGCAAAAAATACCACAAAATATGTTTAAACTATAGTTTTATATTTGCCCTTATTTGGTATTTGATATACTGTAATTGTTAATTTCAAGTGTATTGAGTTCGGTAGCACGAAACGGTCGGAAGCTTGCGCCACCTGGCCGTAAATCCAAGCCAGAGTAAGTGAAACCCGTTTATATTGAACTTGCAAAAAAAGTCTACCAGTTCGATATAGCGGGTAATTAGATATAAAAGTTTTAATGAACTTGACTCTCAAAAATCCCCTTTCTGCTGAAATATTACACAATGAAGTAGTCTTGCATCTTCTGCTGCTTTTTCTTCATTGCATCCGCGATAACGATATTTTTCTACGCTATCGACGGACTCCAAAATTCTTGGGCCGCTGCCTTCTATATTCGCGCATTAGCGCCGAAATATGCCGAGAGCACGGAGCACGTCCAACGGGAGCACCTCCTGCAGAGCGCCGTTTTGCTCTGTAAGTTGGCTTTCCCCTAAAACAGGTGGTGCGTTGGGGGAAGCCAACTAGCAAAGCAAGCTGGCTTTTTTTTCTCTCTCTGGACGGCCGCGTCAATTTGGAAGAAAAAATAATATTCTCTTTTGCGGACGGAGCACGGAGCACCGTCTCTCCGCAAAAGATATATTTTATTTTTTTCTGAACAGTCGACGCGGCCGCCCGAAGAAAAAAAAAAAAAAAAAAGTTAGCGTGCTTTGCAAGCTGGCTTTCCCCCAATGCGGCTGCGCGTTGGGGGAAAGCCAGCTTGCAGAGCAAAACGGCGCTCTTGGCAGTTCGATATATCGGTAGCGGCTGCTATTTTTGTTCGATGCAACCATAGTTTTTGCTATATATTATCACTGTAACATTACTGTGCACAACAATTGTTCGATATAAGGAATAATTCGATGTAAACGGGTTCGATATAGTCGGGTTTGACTGTATTTCGAAAGGTCGAATAATTCTATATTGTCGAATAATTCGATATTGTCGAATAATTCGATATTGTCGAATAATTCGATTTTGTCGAATACTTAAATTCGATTCGAAGCGAATACCGAATAGAACAGAATTCGATTGGCTATTCGTATTAACCGAATATTCGCCCATCCCTAAGGATTAGCGAAGGATTGGCCCCCTCCTTCCCCCTAAACCTCCAGTTACAACACCTACACACACACGGAAGTTTCCAGGACATGGAAACGAGAACCGAGTTTGTTTCTCGCACAGCGTGGTACGTCTTCGCTAGGTGCGTCTTTGATCACCGGAGTTTTTAATCAATGTGACGTTTTTTTCTTTCGAAATAACTGCTGCCCCCTGTCGGAAGCTTGGATCGGAATGCATTGGTATAAAAATGTGACTGCCGCAAGGAAGGAAGAGTGAAGAAGCTTGAAAATGGGCATAAACCTTGAGACAGCAGGTAATAACGACACAAACACTAAAAGGTCTCGGTCTTTTAGTTTGTGTCGTTTTTGCCTGCAGTCTCAGGGTTTCTGTCATGTGAAATTAAAACAGTTTGTTTGCGCCTTTACATTCACTTCATGAAGAAGCTTCTTTGTACGAACTTCAAAGCGAAAGATAAGCTGCAGATAAGCCACAATGTCTACAAAGATCATGCTATGGTACAAAGGATACGGTGGGGGAGCTCAATCACTCGCACTCCTCTGCATCTAGTAAGCAGGATCTAACCCCATCTTACACGCAATCACGTGTTTTCATACTCGCAATTTTCGAACCAGGGTCTGCGTGGGGCTGCGCACGCGTAAAGGATATTTGCCAAAATCATGCATATCCTCAATAAAAAAATAAAAAAAAATGAAATGAAGCACTTAAAAACAAAGACCCGGTTCTAATTTTATTTAGCAACGTCAACCCCCCCATTCTCAAGGAAAAAGAAAAAGTGCACAGCACGTTGACTAAAGAAATCTGCACTGATGCCAATGGCCTTGTAACTCAAGGTCGTTTGTCAATCATGTTGGGGTTACTCTTTTGTATCGTTGGAGTCTGTGGCTTAGCCGCTGTGGGCTTAGTGGAGCGGAGGTGGAGGACGAGGGGGGAAAGGGGAGGAGGAAACAGGCAATGGTGGAAAGGGTAGAAGAGTGTGAGGAGGAAGTGAAGGAAAAGTGGAAAAGTGAACTGGGGGTCGTCGGTCTTTAAAATACTCCCTGGACTTATACGTATTCCTTTATATAAAAAATTTATATAAAGGAATCCGTATAAGTCCAGGGAGTAATTCTATGTCAGTTAAGGAAGGGATGGCAATACATTTTATGATAAAATGTATTGCCATCCCTTCCTTAACTGACATAGAATTAGTAAAATCAGATTGGTAGTTGTCTTACTTGTTCCTGTTGCACGACCACGAGCCAACGCGGCTACGGAGCTTCCTGAGGCACCATGACCTCCCGGGGTGGTGCATGTCGAAAGTGAGAAGTATACCTCCGCCTATCAACAGCACGCTCAACACAACAGGTGTCAGCTCAGGGTCTTCCTGGTTAAAAAAGAACCGCACGGAAATGTACAGCCATATTTGGTGCATACATCGAGACTATGCAGAGAGGTAATTGATTGCTTGCCCGCTGAGGGCAGTGTGTACTTACTTGCTGAAACAAAAGAGGGACAACTGCAAAAGCCGCAAGTTCAGCTGTCTGCGCAAGATGGGCCACAACTGCTTGCTGGGAACTGGGCGATATTTCGTGTAACCAGAGAGGCACCACTGCCAGGGAACTTCCGACGGAGACTTTGCTCATGGCTAGCAGGCACAGACTGATGCAGGGATGACCTGCGCGAGGAAGAGAGATGTTTTGGTCGGAGGATGTGCCCCAGCGAAAGACTAAAAATTAATTTTGAGTACCCTCGATTTTTTTTCCCCCGTTTTAAGTTTTACCATATTTATTTATTTGTATTTCAAATACCCTCGGGGTCACAAGTGCACTGTAAAAAAAGAGTGAGTTACAAGCATTAAAAAAAAAAAAGAAAAAAAAGATTTTAAGAAGGCAAGTAATTAACTGTTCATAAAATATTAAAATAGTGCATAGTGCATAATTTGCGGTTGAACTGCAATTTAATAAAGCATTCTTCCACACAATATGAGCGACAACACTTGACCTGACATTTTGCTACGACTACGGTCCTCACAAACCCCATTGTGTCGATTTGTCAAATAGCTTATAGTCTGGAACTTAAACTTGGAATTCTAGCTTGACCCAGGACTTCCTCAAAGACTTGCAGGTGTTCCCAATAAGCGTGACGGGTTGGTTACAAGAGCAAAAACGAGTTTCCTCGATACCCAGCGCGGCTCGATGTGTACTGGTTCTGCGCCCTCTGACTGCACTCTGCGAGGGGGAAAGCAAACAGAGCAGCGGCAAAACAAGGACCAACAAAACAAACTAAAATTTTGTGTTCAGCTGTGTGTGAGACGCCTCTTTTATGTTTCCACCGAACTCAAGTATCGGGTACATCTGAAGTCTCTTGATACTTTTTTTTCCAAGTAAGGACAACTAATACAAATGACAAAGCACATTCCGCTGGAACAAAATGGCGGCATTCAGTTAAAACCTCTGCTGTGCGCCGCCATTCGCTTCCCAAAACCTGCACCTTCACGCAGTCGGCGCTTCAAAGAATGTCGCTGCTTGTGGGAAGCTCTTATCGAGGGACTTTCGGTACACAGTGTTTCGGCTCATTTTGCGTGATAAATTATATTGCCCGACTTCACTGACACGAGGATGTACGTGCACAGATGAGGCCACGTGCTCGCACCAGTGGCTCTTACAACGTTTACACTCTACTTCGTTTCACCTGAAGTCAGAACAGCCGACGTCACGAGCCCTGAGGCCAATCTTGGGCCGATCAAGCAACCCCGAAAGCGCAGCGTCGCGGCTGTGCATCCAATCAAGCACAGAGAGTACGCCGTATCTTGGCGCTTTTTGTTGCACCTTCTAAGCTTTGACTGCGCTAGCATGAGGATGACACGGAGTACAGAAAGTGATTTTCCAAATCAGATTAAGTACAGATTCAGCGTTCTAATGTCAATGAAAAAGGGCCTGGCATTTCTCGTAGCACGATATTCCGGTTTACTTCTTTAATGGTATACGTGGGATGATTATCCCACGGAAGCTTTTAGGTATCGAATTTTCTCCCGGGTAAGAGGGACCTGAGCATACTGTTCACGGTTATCTCTTCGCTTGACAATTAGAACTCCTAACATACCCAGGATTTTGGGACAGGAGCGCGCCGACACTGCTTGCGCCATCTATCGGCAGCGGTGGCGGGACGGCCCGTAACTCAATGGGACGAACTAGATATATTTTATTTCACGAAATTCTAAGCGGTGCATTATATTGCTCTCGGCGCACTTTTTTAATAGATACCTTTTCTGTTCATTGTGCTAAATTTAAGGACTGTATGTCTAAGATAAATAGAGCCAACTGGCAATCGGAAAAAAATGCATTATACGTATGGGAGTACGGTGATTTACAGAGAAATATTTGAGTTAAAACTCTATTTACAAACTAACTACTCCGTATTCCGAGTTGCTCTCAACGGTTATAAAAGCTCCAGTTCTCCAGCTACATCATGGTACTATTTTCTTCGGAATCCGTTAATTCTACAAAGCGCCCAGGTCATTAAAAGAACAAAAGGCAGGGCTTTGTAAATGAATTCAGGGCTGTTTAGAGCGGTAAAAAGCTGTTTCTCGCGCATAATAAGAAAGTAACTGAAATAATATAACCATAAATGGTGCATGATAGATGTGCATCACTCATTCCTAGCACATAATTGCCAAACCCCCGGGGTTCGAACCTGGGGTTCGAACCTGGGGCTCCTGAATAAAAAATATAAATGAAATACGAATTTGTTTTGCGGTGGAGCATGAACGTTTCTCCAGGACGTGAAAGCATTTTTTTGTAAGGAAGATACGATATTACATCTAATTTCTCAAATCAAGGTAAAAAAAAAAATATCAAGCAGCACTAACGCCACGCACACGAAAAAAAAATTATTACGCGGACTTCTACCGCGCAGTTATAATAATGATGTGTTTTTTAAGTGAACGTGTGAACACATTTTTGAGTTGCCGTTCTTCAACGAGTTATTTAAATATGACCCTAATGTAATTAATTAAAATTCATCTTAATCCTTTGGGCATACTCAAGACACAAAATGAGCAGCGTGTTATGAGCTGCGCTGGGTGTTTGTTTATGGGATTTTCTAAACCCTTTCATACGTACAATATGTCCGATCGTCACGTGGTTGGGGCACGTGATGTCACAGTGTCGCGTCATAACGTCACGTCACGTGACACAATGTAGAGTTATGTCATAGTATCTTCACATCGTGATTTTTAGTGTCACGCCATGGTGTCAAGTCACGTGCCTTGTGTAGTATAGCGTGACATTGTTAAATGGTTGGTATCACGTGACGACGGTATGCTGATGAAGAAACGTGGTCACACCTCACTGATAATGTCACGTGACAACCGTGAGCTAAATGTGGTGGGCGATACCTCGCCCGTCAAATTTTGCATTTCTGCAATGCATTGGTAACTTTTAACTTAGCGGGACCTAGTTCGCTATATATGGTGTGGGCGTTTGACGGTTTCTTGAGGCGGTCCTCGTGACAGCTCGTCACGCTTTCTAGGTACGGTGGAGATTATAATGTAAAATTGACCACTTAAATGCGCGCGAGCCGCGGGAGGTGTTGCCTTTCGTTATTTTTTTCGGCAAATACGCTCCGCGCGCGTGACACGCTCAAGATGGTCACTTTGCAAGTCAGCTTCTCTTGCAGTACTGGCAACAAAGATCGCTAATGTATACTTTTTTCGCCTTAGACTAGAAGCTCCGCCTTCAGCGCGAGCTCAATGATTGCCGCAGTGCTTTAGTAGCACGTTGCGCGTTCCTGTCCTCAGTAAAGGCCAACTTATCGCCTGCTAACCTCTGATGATGTCCAGATCACGAGCGACTCCACATTGACTCTCGGAAACCCTTGTCTTATTGAACCGCATCGCAGTTTACACCAAACAAGATAACAACCTTCGACCCTCAACCACGAAGGATTTAATAAAATATACTAGTATTCTATCATTTTTGATACTTGAGAGCAGAATATAAACTCTCATGCCCAGAAAACAGGATAAAATTCTCGTCCTCCAAAACAGCCTACTAGGAAATTGCAGTTTTCAAAGTTTTTCCCGAAGAGTCCCATGCATTAGCTTGTGTAAAACAATAGCTGCCGACGGTGCCGCTCGACCCCAGCTAGAATTGACGGTCAAAAAGGGGACGGGGCCCGAAAATATCGGCCAAGACGCCCCTCTGAAGAACCTAGAATTGAAAAGGGTCGATAACTGGGCGAGTTGGTGAGAGTTCATGTTGGAAAACAGCGCGACTGGGACGGGGACACACAGAGATGAAGAGGACACAAGACAAAGCGCTGACTAGCAACTGGTTCGTTATTACAACATAAGGAAGGATGACAATGAAATGAAAAACATGGAGTCAAATGCTCGCGCGCTTGCTTGACGCCTCGTGGAATATGCCCCTTTCTTCTTTTTTTTCTTTTTCATCCGATTGTTGACTAGTGTTCTTCTTTCCTCAAGAGCTTGGGTTACCCTGAATCCAAAAACTTCATCTCGTTGGGAGTCATAGTCACCGAAGGTTGGCTCACACACGAACTGTTGCTCTTCATGATGTTGTAGGCAATGTTGACAATGAAATGAAAAATGTTTTTCATTTCATTGTCATCCTTCCTTATGTTGTAATAACCAACCAGTTGCTAGTCAGCGCTTTGTCTTGTGTCCTCTTCATCTCTGTGTGTCCTCGTCCCAGTCGCGCTGTTTTCCAACTAGAATTGAACCCCGAGCGTACTCTAACCCACCACAAATGACAGCAGGCTTGGTCTATTCTTAGAATCCCGGAGAACATTTCGGGAATCAGATTATTTCGCGAGTTATTTTAATCGGAATAGGGTCTCTCCCATAAAAAAAACATCCCAAAAGGGGGCGTGGCTCAAAAATATGGGCAAAGGCGCCATTCTGAGGAACCTAGAGTTCAACCCTGAGCGTACTCTATCCCACCACAAATGATAGCAGGCTTGGTCTATTCTTAGAATCCCGGAGAGCATTTCGGGAATCGGATTATTTCGCGAGTTATTTTAATCGGAACAGAATCTCTCCCATCAAAATCGGCCAAAAAGGGGGCGTGGTTCGAAAATATTGGCAAAGGCGCCGCTCCGAGGAACCTAGAGTTCAACCCTGAGCGTACTCTATCCCACCACAAATGATAGCAGGCTTGGTCTATTTTTAGAATTCCGGAGAGCATTTCGGGAATCAGATTATTTTGCGAGTTATTTTAATCGGAACAGGGTCTCTCCCATCAAAATCGGCCAAAAAGGGGGCGTGGTTCGAAAATATGGGCAAAGGCGCCGCTCCGAGGGACCTAGAGTTCAACCCTGAGCGTACTCTATCCCACCAGATGTGATAGCAGGCTTGGTCTATTGTTAGAATCCCGGAGAGCATTTCGGGAATCGGATTATTTCGCGAGTTATTTTAATCGGAACAGGGTCTCTCCCATCAAAATCGGCCAAAAAGGGGGCGTGGTTCGAAAATATTGGCAAAGGCGCCGCTCCGAGGAACCTAGAGTTCAACCCTGAGCGTACTCTATCCCACCACAAATGATAGCAGGCTTGGTCTATTCTTAGAATCCCGGAGAGCATTTCGGGAATCGGATTATTTCGCGAGTTATTTTAATCGGAACAGGGTCTCTCCCATCAAAATCGGCCAAAAAGGGG